CAAGCAAGGGGTTGTCGAGTCGAAGGGCGCAACCTGAACTTCCCGCTTTGATCAATTATGCACTAGGTATGCCCAAGTGCGGGTTGCCAAAATAGAAAAAATGGTGATGTTTAAAGGGAAGATGCAGAGAGTCCTGTTGACGCCTTGGAGGTGAAGAAGGACGAGGTCAGGAACGGTAACACATGGCAAGTGGAACAAGGGGCTCACAGGAACGCACGCAAGCACTTTAGAAACCCAAAGCTGCCGACATTCGTTTGTCGTAAACCCCTCCGGCCGGCCAATGCAGTTTTAGAGAGGGACAAGAGATTCGAGGCGACCAAGAGATGACGCGTTCAAACCACGCCAAGCAGAAAATGGAAAATGGGGGACCCTGTTGAAAGGGCCAAAGGTCTGCCGCCCCTGCTGGCCCCAACCACCTGGCCCCGCCTCAAGAGTCCATGCGCTGCTCAACTGCGCCTCGCTCGGAGACCGATCCGTGCAGTCACGCTGCCGAAAAAAATGCGGGGTGGGGTTGCTGGTGATTGGTGTGGAGTTTCGGGTTGAGTTGGAACCTCGGAAAAATGGTCTTTAAAAGATTGCTTCAGTGGGTTTGTGTGCTCATTTGCGCGTGCAAAACAGTGTGGCTCCATCATTTGCCGAAAGCTGGTGAAACGAAGGAGTTGCACGCTCGTCATTGCAGCAGGATCTCAAAATGGTGACAATGTATATTCAAGCTAGACATGTCAAGATTGCAACTCTGCAAACCAGTTGGCCAGCAACGGAAAGCATGCTTTTCTCGATTGATTTGCAATTTGCAAGGCCCTGCGCTTTCTGAATCTTCTCTGGGTCACATAAAGCTCGTCGGCTCAGAGGTTCTCGATTGAAACACTTCCAATGCTCCTCGACCCAGGGGCAAAGGCACAGTGGTCCAGATATGAAATTAGTTTATTCCAGAACCCTTCATCCAGGAGATGTCATGAAAACGAACCTGGAGGATGTGCCCAAATAGTCGCTGATGCAAAATGCAAACAGCAACTAAGTAGTGTATATATATATATATATACACATGTATATGTATATATATATATATATATAGGTATGTATGTGTACATATATATATATATGTCGGGGAGACTCACCCAATTTCCCACGTCAGCAGCAATCATGACGCACGTTCCGACCAGCTTGCGGGGACATTGCAAGTCATCTAGGGTCCCGTGTCTCTTCTGGAGAAAGGATGCCAGACTACCATACCCTTCCAGGACTCCTGGCGGCCAAGCCTTGCCAAAAGGAACGCCTTCTTCGGCGTTGGCGTCGAGCCCGATCAACTTCTAGCTCTCTGGGCGTCCGGCGGCGCACCAGCTCCAGGCCAGGCCGGTCCAGCTCCTGAGTTGCAACGGGATCCGGGCAAAAGAAAATTTTGGGGGCGCCCCCGCGTTTTGGGGGAACCGATCTATGATATTATGGCACTCCAGTTCTTGCACGAGTCGCCATGCGCTTCCATCGTCTCGTGAAGGCATCAACTGGGGTTAAAACCCTGAGGTTCTCCAAAGAGTCTATATTCACCTGTTTCTTGACTTGCTTGCAGCGAACTCAGCTCGCAAGACATCGCCTTGTCAGCTTCAGGGAGTCGGCGGGAATTCTCGGGAAGTAAGTCTGCACAAATGAACATTAACGAAAGATGCAAGCAAGAAGGCCAAAGGAAATCGTGTTTGCAAATCCAAACATGACAACACGCGTCCAAGGATGGCAAACAACCAATCTTGATTGGGCACCAGGGTTGGGCGATCCAAACCCGTGTTTCCACATGTTTAAGGGGGACCATGGGTTGTTTAAATAGTTCTGCCCAAGGCTGGCAAGAACCTTTCTTGCTTCTTTCGCTTGCGGCGACGATAGCGGCGTGGAGGACTTGTTCAAATTTGGACGTTTCCCGTGTTTTCATGACTGAGCCTGCGCGACACGCCAGCAGCTCAGCTAGAGGGTCTCTGCCCAGACAAGCTATGGCGTGGTCCGAGCAGCTCTGGGAAGGTTCCGGAGGGTTCCGGGTTCCGAGAGTTGCTGCATCGGTTCCGGGTGGTGCCGGCGGTTTTGAGTGGCTCCGAGTGTTGCGCAAAGTTCCGAAGGTTTCGCAGGGGGTTCAGGGTGTGGAGCAAGGGTTCCGGAGATTTGCCGGGGATACCACCTGGGCTGATTTCTGTAACTTCCCCGCAGTGTTCGTTTAATTGTACGGTCCCCTGGCACGCCTTCACCAGCGCCAGCACCGCGCAAAGGATGTTGTCCCCCGAGCGCCCGGGCATCTGGCATGTGTTCTTGGCCATCAAGCTGCCGTTTCCCCCCCAGTTAAGGTCCCCTTGAACATCATCCCACGAGCAAACTCATCTGACACGGGCCCAAAAGGTGATATTAAAACAACAAGCGGAATATTGGGACCAGTCTTGGCTTCGACCATGGATGAGATGAAGACCCCGATAGGTTGACGGTTTCAAACATTTCAACACGTTGAAACTTGAAGCTTGAATCTGCTGTGTTGAGACGCTTGCCACATCTCGAAAGACTGGAACTCCGAAACATGGATATATCCATGATCGTCCGGAATGCACGGTGACTCAAGAAATCGCAGGGAACCAGGCCGTAAGCGAAATTGCACACTTGAAAGAGATCTTTATAAATCACCACTCTCTGCCCCAGCCCCAACAAAGTAAAGGCTGTACAGACCTCTGCCAAATTTGAAGGTGACAAAATTGGGAATGTCCCATGTCTGTCATGCTGCCCAAAACGGCAAAGAAGTCCCCAATTGAAAACATCCACACTACGCATCCCAAGTTTGTCTCAGGCGTATCGAGACGAAGTCTGCCAGGCACTTCTGTGCAAAGAAACAGGGAGTCCGGCAACCCTGGAATGCGCACATTGCCAACGTCGCCTAGGCTCTCCCCCACGCGCCAGCCGCTTGCGTAAAGCGCGCCTTGATTTTTTGAGCTGCACAGGTGTAGGTTTGAGAGTTTGACCCGCAGGCATCGCGCGCGTTTTCGCACATGCAAGGCACTCTGTGCTTGCATGATAGCGCTAGCTTGCGGGTGATGTCACATGGTAACGGTGTGCCTTCAACCAAACATCAAAGACCCCAAGAGCCAGCATAAGCCATAAGCTGACCTCTGCTCTTGGTTGCGAAGCGCTCGAAAAATGGGTTGGGAGTACGCTGCAAACTGTATTCGAACAAAGCACTTACAGTAGTTAAATGCATCAAACTAGAACGAGGTGTTGCAGCCCGAGCGCATGTAATCTGAACACAAAACTGACAAAAAACTTGGGACGAAGCTCCCGAAGGAACAAAAATGCTACGCACATATTCAGGCAGTTCATTCTGACATCGACCTCCTCGGAAACTCAGGCTGCGTTTGGCTCCGCCCCTTTCATGCCATCATCCTGGATGTCTTGGGCCTTTTTCACATCCAGGTTGAGCAGGTCGGGCGCCTGCGAGAGAGCCTCTTCCTCCTCCTCCTCGTCAGGAAGGCTGTCCAAGAGCTGCAGCTCTTCGGCAGTGAACATGTATTTCAAGGCCTTGCGGATGATAGCCAAGGACGCCATGAAGAAGGGGAAGACCACAGAGGTCTCCTTGATGGCCTTGAGGCCGTACAGGATTGCCAGGCAAACCACCTGCACGAAGGTGTACAAGTGGACGCGCTTGATGGGCAGCTTCTGGATGTAGTTGTACTGCGGGTACTTGGAAGAGTCCCAAATCATCCAAAGGAAAAGGCGGTCGAAGAGGTTGTTGCCGGTCAAGGATGCGATTCCCATGTAGAAGAACACGCCCTGCAGCACGGCGCGAGGCAGAAACTTGAGCACCGGAGCCATGAAGAGCGCGCAGCCAATGAGCACATGGATCAAGAAGTTGGTGGCACGTTGCTCGACGACCTTGGAAGGCACCTTGGTCTCGCCCTGTGGGAGCTGCTTCACCTCGTAGGTGGTGAGCGAGATCACGTGGGTGATGCTGGGCACAGTTGAGGCCACAGACAGGGGCAGGCCCAGCACGGCGCAGGCCGGCAGCGTCAGCGCGCCGCGCACAAACAGGTCCAGGTGGTAGCCAGGCGCCTTCTTCAGCCCGTTCGATGGCCGGTTCACAATGATGCTCGTCAAGTTCTGGTCCAGGTAGCCCAGCACCGCAAAGCCAATGGAGGGGATGATGGCATAGGCAATGCCCCAGGCAGGAAATTGCCGATCAATGCCTGCAGGGTTCACGATCCAAGGCCTCTTGCTGCCGTCTGACAGGCTCAAGGCAGGGGCGAACTCGGCGTCCACGGTCAGCATCCGCAGCGACGTGTCGCTGGAGTAGAGGGCGGCAAGCGCGGACGCAGTGACCAGCGCGATTGTCACAGCGAAGTTGGCCATCAGGGTGCGGATGGGCCGGAGCAACCATGGTGTGCGCCGGAAATGGGACAGGTAGGTGGCAAGTCCGAATGTGTAGCCAAACAGCAAGGCCTCGAACATGGCGTTGGTCAAGGTCATCTCTTTGTCAGTGAAGTTTCGGATCATGGGCGACACGCCGTCAATGATGAAGATCAGGCTGATCAGGCCAGCAAAGATGTCCTCGCTGAACATGGTCACGTGCTTCATCAGGGCACACAAGTCAAAGACGGCCACAAGGATGGTGAACAACGAACACCACATGCAGACCCAGAAGTAGAAAGGCATGAACTCCAAATCCATCGCCTCTGCCATCTCAAAAACCACCAGCGTGTACGCCAAGAAAGGGCCAGTAGCACCTAGGATGGACAGAGGCTGCCCTGCGAAGCTAGAAAACAAAACGCCGCTGATGGCGGACGACATGATCATCTCCAAAACTCCAAACTGGCCTTTGGTGCCGTCCAAAAACCTGCTCCCGAAGGTGATGGCAGGGGCCAGCGCTGCGATGAACAGATAAAGAATGGAGGACACGGACTTCTGGAAGTTCTCAGCCTTAAAGGCGTCCGTCCAGTCGCTGATGTACAGGGGTGCCCGCCTGCGCAAGTCAAGCCTCAGCCCGCCCCCAATCTTGCCCGTGAACTCCAAAGGACCGAAGTCCTTCTTGGCTGTGTGGGTGATGTAGCCGGACTCGTTGCGGATGACTGCTTCAGCCTCTGTCATAGCTCTGATTCAAGTAAGTGCGACGGTTTTGTTTCTGCGTCTGGCGTCCTTGAGCCTCTGCGTTGATTAGGTGCACCGGATGAATAACTTCTCAAGTTGGGTGTCCAGGCCACGAGCACCGAAAGCGAGCGGACTCAACAAGCAAGATCGCAAGTCGGGGCCTGCGGTGGCAGCTCCTCGCTTGGCCGCTGCCTGAACTGGTTCAAAAAAGGGATCCCGGTGCCGCCGGTGCTCTCAAAAGAATGCCAAAAAAGGATCCTCCTTGTGAACCTCAAATGAATAATGTGCATAACATGAAAATCCACCCCCGATGTGGACATGAAAACATGGTTGGAATAAAATGGGCCTCTGCAGATGGGGAACTCAGGCCGGCCGGCCAGACTGAAACACTGTTATCCTTACACCGACAACTTTAACCCTCACAACAAAACCTGCTTTGCGACAGTCCAAGGGCGGCACATGTCGCCCCAGGCCGCTGCGCGTCCTGTGGCGAAAACTACAAAATCCGTGTGCAAACCCGGAACATCGCTGCGAAGTGGGCTCTGTTTGAGATGCATCCCAGCATGAAGCTTTGGAACCTTGCCCACCGAAACGCCAGACAGGCCAGTCAGGATATACAGCGCGAGCACTCAATCAGTATTTGCCGAACATGTCCTCTCCCCCCCCACATGCTTGCATGCGGGTTCACCCTCCTGGTGGGTCTTGCTTGGGCGTGCCATTGCGGCTGTCCCGCTCCTCCCAATTTGCCTGCGAGGCTGACAATCTCGCGGATGTGAAATAGGAACTCAAAAAAGGCTGTCGCCACTCGTGGAAGACATTCCAAAAGGGAAAGGCAAAATGGAGTGAGGTGAAGAGCGAAAGCGACAGATCCCTGGGTGGAAAGGGAGAAACCGAATGCCGGAGCACTTTTGCCATGTGGGACGAGATCATCACTTCGCCTGCAGTTGCCTGTTTGGTGGAGATCGCCACAACTCGCTCACATCTTCCTTTGGCATCTTTCTAAGCTTGGGCTTACGCAGCTTTTGCACACCCCGCCGAAGTGAGTTGACATGTTGTTTGCTTGACCTCGCAACGCATCTGCAAGAGAAGTGGTCTAGCGTGCGCCGCGTTGCGCTCTTCAAACAGAAATGAGATGCAAAAGGCAACCCTGTCCAATGCCCAAAAGTCGTTGCCACCTTTTGTCGGTACCACTGAATCCGTCGCTGTCCCTCTCGACCCTTTTTCTCCCGGCTTGGACCCTCGGACCCTCGGACTTTCGGATTCTCGGACCCTCGGACCCTCGGACCCTTGGACCCGAAAGGCCTCGCGCATACCTCGGAATGCGAACGAGTCCCGTCCAAGGGTTCCAATGAGTAGCCGTCAATCCTTTATGCCCTTTGTTCTCTTGTTTTCTGCTTTTGGACTTTCTGCGCTGATGCCAAAAACGCTTCGTGACATCAGTTTACTCTAACATGCGCTCCAAGACCCGAGCCAGTGGGTGGCAAATCCGTCCTGCGTACGACATGGTGACACAAAATGATCTCGACAAGCATTGGTGGCCATGTGGACGAACATCTGAGAGGGTTTGGAAGCCGCCACCAGCCCAATAAGCATCACTCCAAAACAGCAAGTGCCGCAGGTTGAACCACAACTAAGAATGGAACAGTTTAGGGCTCCACATAAACTTTGCTCACAAACCGCTTCCAGCGGGGAATCTACAAGCTGGGTCCGGGGTGCTGGCCACAAAAGCGAAATGTGAGCGACTCGTTTTATCTGCTCCTAGATCCGCGCTGCTCTGGACGGGTAGGCCTCCTGTACACGGCTAAAAAAAGGGGAGAACGGCTGTCCAAATGATTCTGGTCCAAAAACTTGCCAAAGCCTCACTCAATCCCTCAAGGTAATGTTGGGCACGCTTTAATGGCAGTAGCCTGTATCGTGTAAGGTGTTTTTCCTAATTCAGGATCGTTGGACTGTTTTGGGGTCCTCTATTGTGGCAAGTTTCCCAAAAAAAACAAAAACAAAGAACTGCCAGGAAAAAACAGAGCAAAAACAACTAGCCAAAGAAGTCTGGCAAACAAATCCGGGCAAACATGAGGAATTCCTTTGTGGGAATAGTTCCCAAACCATCAAATTCAAGATAACTTCTTTACAAAAAAGTAAGGGCAAACATTGGCACAAAGGGGGGAGTGCCCACAAGAAGCCTTCATCCTCTTTAATGCAACCGTTTTGGGGTCCTCTTTAGCGTCCAACTGTTTTGGGGGGTTGCTGATGTTCTGAAATTAAAGCCTTAGCCTTGTACATTATAAGTGTGGTTCACCGAACCAAGCTCTCCCCAGCTCAACAGGTCAAGGCCTTGATCCAATTTTGCCAGTGGTCCGCAAGCTATCAAATCTTAGATAACTTCTTTACAACAAAAGTAAGGGCAAACATTCGCACAAAGGGGGTGCACAAAAGCTGAATGAGGCTGATCTTACTTGAGAGCAGTCTTCTTTTCCATGGCCCAAGAGCAGTCAGGAGATACGGAGTGAGAACTGCCTGCTGCCAGCGCTCCCGGCCCGTAGTTACGCGCTCCTGAGAGGCCCTGATCCTGTTTAATGCGACTGTTTCGGGGTCCTCTTTAGTGTCCAAGAGTCAGCCTTGGCAATACTAAAGTAGAATTGGCAATGCTAGCGTAAGTACTGGGGAATCTGAGAGGAGCCCTTGGCAATACTAAAGTAGAATTGGCAATACTAGCGTAAGTACTAGGAATCTGAGAGGAGCCCTTGGCAATACTAAAGTAGAATTGGCAATACTAGCGTAAGTACTAGGAATCTGAGAGGAGCCCTTGGCAATACTAAAGTAGAATTGGCAATACTAGCGTAAGTACTAGGAATCTGAGAGGAGCCCTTGGCAATACTAAAGTAGAATTGGCAATACTAGCGTAAGTACTAGGAATCTGAGAGGAGCCCTTGGCAATACTAAAGTAGAATTGGCAATACTAGCGTAAGTACTAGGAATCTGAGAGGAGCCCTTGGCAATACTAAAGTAGAATTGGCAATACTAGCGTAAGTACTAGGAATCTGAGAGGAGCCCTTGGCAATACTAAAGTAGAATTGGCAATGCCAAGCTGCGCTGCCCTCCCCGCTAAAAGTTCAACTATTAGTGGGTTAAATGGAAACTACCACTAAACACTACAAAGCTAAAAGGCCAAGGGGATGCAGGATCTTCCCTAAGAGGCTCCAGAAGACTGGTGCCACTGTTGATGGGGGGGTCACAAATTTAGCAGGTCCAACATGATTCTTCTGTTGAGCCGTGAAAGAAACTGTGAAGTGCCACAACAGCTAATTGCCAGAAAGTTTGCGTTCATGCTATTATGCTCTGCTGTTCATACCATTGCTCTACCAAAATGGAAAGCACAACACACTTCCGGTGTCATTTAGATGTGTCTAGTTTTGGGGGTATTCTTGTGGGGTTCTGTTTGGAAACCACCTGTGTAAGGGGTTCCCGAATTTTGAGACCAACCTATTTGCAAAGGCCAGGAAAGGGCAAGGCGGCAAGGCGCGGCAACACAAAAAACAAACCATGCTGTTCTTGTGTTCTTGAGGCCGCAATTGAATATGCGGAGAACTGAGAACAACTCTGTTAAATCAGCCACGCGTTACTGAACATCCTAGTAGCGTTTGTTCAGGAAACAAATGCCTCAGTCACGTCCACAACACAAGCACCTTGCCTCACTGAGATGTTGTATGCTGGATATTGCAACCCTGCCCAGTGGCCCAGCTGTTCTTGCTACCCAATTCGCAAGGGCGAAGAAGGTTGTGCCTCTAGCAAACAAGGACGATGTTTGCTTCTGGAGCCGATATGCTGTTGACAAGGCAGCGTTTCAATTGAGTCCGCGAGCCCTAAAACTAACAAAAAGACATCGGCAGCTAGTCATACACCCACAAAAAACCAACAAAAGGGACCCTGTAGAAGATTCGCCTTTTGGGAGGTGTTAGCCTGATAGTTGCTGGTGCGGCATATTTGCTGCATCTGACGTCTGCCAACTTTGGGTTCCTATGCGGTTCCAAACATCTAAATAAGCAGGCAACCCGCGATCGGGGACCTCCAACAAGCATCAGGACTCGACACGGACAATATCATCCCTGCCTCTGGGGCACGCGCCGCTGCTCGATTAGGTCCTCGTCCTCGCACAAGGAAAGTTGGGTTCGAAGCGAAGTTCTCCGAAAATGAAAAACGAAGCACGGATCCTGGAAGCCAACAGACTGATGGGCCGATGGGACTGAAATACGTCTTTGAAGGAGTCTGCGGGTTGGGGCCCGCGACCTCGACTTCACGCAGAGAGTATCACTTTCGTGAAACCGTGCATGTTCCCATCCATGAGTTCAACTACTAACTGACAAGATAGCTTGCCGACAGGAAACAAAAGGCCTGTACAAGAGGTCGCTTGACCCACGGAAAAATTGGCAGAAGTGCAGAGTGAAAGTGAGAAGGCCAAAGTCAGAAGGTCCGATTCCAGGGAGGCCAGTGCCCAGCAGGAACAACCAAACGCAGGCGAAGCGGCCGGCGATGCGACTCGACAAGCCCGGAGTAGGGGATCTGCCGAGAGAGGCTGGTCGAGGCAAGAAAGCGCCCAGCCAACAGGTCACGGGTCCAGAGGCGTCTTCCGGACGCAAGACAGCCCGGGCCTTCTCCCTCTGAGTCACGCTGGGAGCTTGGAGTAGCTGCTTGGGCAACCGAGGGAGACACGGCTTGGCAAGCCACGAGCAAGGAGCCAAGCGCCCGCCACGAAGGGCCTCGGAGCCCCAGCCGCCCGCAAGCCTCAGGCCACAGAGCGGCCGTGAGGTAAGAACGCTTGGCGAGGGCGGGCCGCACGCTGGTGACGGCGAAGTCAAAAGCAGCTGGGCCGAGAACGCTCCAAGGCGCGCAAGCATCGGCAGGCCAGCGGCCTCGCCGAATAGGTCAGTACGCTGAACCTCAGGGCTGAGGCTAGAGGCAAGCAAAGCATGAAGGTGGTTCTGGCGCCTCAAACGGTCCCCGCCACAAGGGCACACCGAAACAATGCCTTGCAGTTTTATCAATCCTAGAGCCCACTCATGATTCACAAACTGGCGGAATTCTGCACAGCTGTGCAAGAGAAAATACACGTTAGACGAGGACACCAAACGAAATCAGACCAGGCAACCGATAGTCTACGAGGTCAGTTTCGGTGAGGTCAATTGTATCACTACATCTTGTCCTGTGCGACAGAGATTGGCCAAATGTCGCATTACTTTTACAACTTTCAATGGACCTTGCAGAAACCAATCAAGCGCACAAGCGGAATCAGGCCATTTGAAAGTCCACAAACTCCTGCCAAAGTCCCATCACTTTGTTTACAGCTTTCCTGAATTGACGAGTGCAAACCTAAAACCAGCACCGTGTCCAGCAGCCTGGGGAATGGCTCCCAAAAGCTGCCAAATTCCCTTCCCCCCTGGTCAAGGTTCAAAGCTTTCCTGCCTCCAGCAGCGGTTCTCGCAGTGGTGCGGAGCGATAAGCCGCCCTCCCTTGGCCTGAGAGAGTTGTCCACAAGTTGTCACTGCTATGTGCGCTCCACTCGCAAGGTGTTGAGAATCGGCCTGGGCACAACCATGGAAAGCAGTCGCAGATCCGAAATCCGTCAGGCACAATGTGAACGCAAAGATTGATACTGGATGTCACTTGGTCCGTGCCCCTCAAAGCAAACAGCTGCTATCGCCAAAGCCCAGGCATGAACACCATTTGCTGGGGAATTGCTCCCACAGGCAGCACTGGAGGAATCCTAAGATGAATGGCCAGAAAGCAAAACAAAGGCAGATAATTGGTGAGGAACCAAAAACTGTTCTGGCACAGTTCTTCCTCCATGGTAAGTTCGAGAGAAACAGAAACCACCACAGCTTCTGACTTTGACAACCCTCAGAAACAGTCAAACCAATGCATGGTGTGCACCCACTTCACCGCTACTTGGTCAAACAAGCCTTCTGCCCTCAAAGCCTTCTTAGCCTCACAGCCTGCATTTGATTGGGGGGCTTCGCGGCCGTTCATGCATTTGGGATATTTTTGTTCCAGCCATTCTGGGGCCGGTCGCCCAGTCGCCCTTGAAGCATCCATGCTTCCTTCCCCCCAAAATCCGTCCATGGCCCACCCATGTCGGAATCACTCGCCTGTGTGCTCCGGAGACTCCTCCTGGCGATATCCCAAAGGCCGCCGCTCATGCGGCCGCCTGCAAACCGATGCAGGTCAGCACGGGTGGACTGCTCCAGGTGAAACACTTTACTTTAGTCCCGAGTTGGATATGCTCCACTTGGCAGTTGTTTGAGGTGTAGGAGGAAAAACTGCCGGGGGGCTACTATGTTCTCACATTGTGTTAGCAAGCTTGCGTGGGATGTCATTTGCCATTTGGTGCTGCTCATGTTCCTTCCTCCATAGAGTTGATATGCAAACAATTCCGCTTCCCGTCTGTTTGTTTCAAAAATGGCTAATCGATTCCCACCACAGTCGTTATATGAGGATGTCCAAAAGATGCGTCCGCGCAAAGTAAACATCAGGCCTGTGACTTGTTGCACTTGAGTAACGCCAGTCCGCTTGACCCATTTCACGTGGCTGGTTTCAACCAAAAAAGGACAACATAATGTCGGATTCTGACCACTTGCCGTCATGCGCCCAAGATCCATCTCGGCTCAGCCAAACATGCTCCATGAATCAATGAATCGAACCGTTCACTAAAACCGGGCTGGGCTGAGTGGGCTGAGTGCTGGCTTGTCTATTGCTGATCCCTTTTGGATTGAATGTTTCTCAAGCGCCTCTGGGGCACCAAGCCTTTGATTCGCCGTTGGACCGTATGAGTTCACCTTGACGTTTTCGTTTGCAAGCTCGCCACAACTCTTTGACCATGTACCTCCCAGAAGAAAAACAGCTGCGGACCCGCCATCAGTCAGAGTGATCTTTTTGCCCCCTCACCCTTTTCGGGATCAGTTTGCCTCCAAAAGGAAACCGTACACTTTTGAGGCCATTCGTTTTTCCAACAAGGTCGTCCAACTCTGCAGGAGCAACCGACAAACACCTTCACCCTTGACATCCATCGACCTCCGAGACCCCGGGCGACGCGCTGAGGCGGTCCACTGGGGAGCTCTGCACACGGCGCAGCTCCTTGAGACGCCGATGTTCCAGCGAAAACATAGGAATGAGCTCGCTCTGTCGCATCTGCTTTTGACAGCCGGTAGACTTACAGTAAGTAGTGCTTGCTTTCAGCTTGCCCGACATTCCAACTCATAGCAAACACAAAATCCGATTCCATGATGAAGGGTCAAGTCGAATCATGGAAAAACCGCAGTTTAGAAGCGTGCACAATTCCGGTGCCGGTGAACATGCGTGTGTGTGTGTGACTTCAGTGTGTGTGTGTGTGTGTGTGTATGAGACTTAAGTGTGTGTGTGTGTGTGTGTGTGTTCCCTTTGGCGACTTGGTGTCCTGTCCCTCTCTCCGTGAAATCCAAAGTCCACAAAGGTCGTCGAACCCATGAGCCACGCGCCTCTTGGGCCTGTGCCCGGGCCAGCGCCTAGCCGCTTTTTGGGTCGAGATCCGCGCGGGTGAGTCGGAGCGCCAGACGTGTCTTCTACTTGGCCAACTCACTGAAAAAGGACAGGGCTGCGCTTTGAAGAGAACAAAGTAGGCCAAACTGTGGAAGATGGCAGGCAAACGCGAAAGAAGCGCAGCCGCCAATCAAACCAAAAGAAACAAACAAAACTCTGCCAAACCAGCACCACCCTTGGAAGCACGTGTCAGGCATTCCGTGTTGGCATCTCAACATGTATGCTTTGGGACTTTTCTGCACTGCTTCGTTCATGACACCCCTCTTTCAGATTTGCAAGCCTTCACTTGGGGGTGGGGGAGTGGGCTTCTCCGGGCCTCCATGTCTTCGCTGCCGGCACGGCGCCGGCCTCGGCGCTTGCGGCGAGAGGCAGAAGTTGGGCTCGTGGCTTCGGCCTCGCTCGGGCCTAAGCAACAACCTTGCGAGTAGTGCAAGTAAATGGATGGATGGATGGATGGATGGATGGATGGATGGATGGCTGGATGGATGGATGGATGGCTGGATGGATGGATGGCTGGATGGATGGAATCAACCGATCAATCACGCCGTTCTCAAGTCAGGGAACCGGAGGCCGGCAAACCCCACTTTGAGGAGTCTCCTGGGTTTGCCACGAGAGAGCAGCCCCTCCGTGGCAGGTTGAAAAACGAACATCTTTGACCACACAACATTGAAAAGGGGCTCGATTTCTTCCGATTGTGGAGCTCAACATCGGCTCTCTCTTCCAATTGTGCGAGTTGCAAAACAGCAATCAATTCGCAAGACATTGGAGTCACCCGAACGGGAGTCATGATGCCCCTTCCCTCTCCACCCCAGTAGTAAAAGCAATTCGAGACATGCAAAGCGAGAAAGATCGCCATCCCGACTTAACGCATGCCTCCACACCGACTTTGGCCAGTGGCCGGCGCTGTCGTACTCTTCGGCGTAGTCCTCCGCAGGGCCATCGCCTCAGATCAGCTTACGGATCTGCCTGAGTTCTCATGACTTGCCGGCCAAAGGACAAGGGAAGCTTCACAGGTGAGGTGCTTTCACCCAGCTATGATTGGCCCTCCCAAAGTATTCCCAGCCCATGTGAGAGACTGAGGACAACGCTGCAAGGAAGCAATTGCCCCCCTTGACCCTTCAAAAGGAAGCAGAATCAAAGGGGAGGAACGAATTGGGTGTCATCTCATTGAGTGGCCTATGTTGCCGCGCACCATCCAAAAATGGTCTTCTGATTTCAAAGGACCTTAAGAGGTTGGGGCACCGCTGTTCAGATCGGCCAATAGCGACCGAAGGAACGATACTTGCAGGCTGAAGCTAGCAAAAGCTCCCCCTTGGCATAAAAAGCCTATCACTCCACCTCCGCACCCGCCGGCCCCCTTCACTGCCAGGGCCCTCACCCCCGTTGGTTTCGAGGCCCGCAAAGTCCAACTGGGCGATCAGCCGCGAGTTGCATGTCAGCATGAAGTTCAGTCTTCTGAAGGGCCCCCTACAATAAGTATCCTTATGACTTCCTTTATATTCCGCAAAGAAATTTCAACTAAGCATTCCCACATCTCTCAGCCAGGGAAGTAGCCAGAACTGGTTTTCACATTCCCCGCCAGTCATTTGTCTATTCGCCACGGCCTACTTCAAAGCAAAACAGGAAGGATCCGTCTCTTGTACGGAGATCTGGCACCTGCATGTGCCCGCAGTTTGGTAACTTACACATCGTAGGCGATCAGGCCCGAACCGCGAGAAGTGCCATTGCGAGGGCATGCGTTCCATCGGAAAAAGCTCCAACAGCAACATGCTAGCCACGTCCAGGTGTGTCCTTCGGGAGGTTGCCCAAAAGTGAGGGGCTTTTGTGCGGGAGGTCATTTGACAGTCCGTCAAGCAAAAAAGCCTGACTGCGGCTGGCTCACCCCCTTGCTAACATGCTAACATGTTCACAAGCCAAGCTTAAACCACTTCCCTTTTGGTTCCCTTTGGTTCCCATTTTCAGAGCCCCCAGGGCAAGTTGCAGCCGACTCTTCTATGGGCCCCAGCCATCTGCGCTTCTCTTCGCTCCTCCTCCGTCACGTCCTGCCAGTCTAGGACATAACCCCCGTGCGCATTCCCCCCCCCCCCCCCCGGCCCTAGCGCTGCGCAACGCATGACGGTGAGATCGTTGTCGCGGGTTACATCCATTTGCCGCGTTTGCTGGTTGACTTGCGCTAAAATAGGCAAGTGCTCATTTTCGGGTCACAAGCCAGACTGTCTGCTTTGTGAATTTAGGAGGCTGCATAAATCACAATATACGCTGTCGGCTCGCAAAGGTCAGATTCCAAACTGATTGAGCAGGGAGATTCACTAATCCTGTGATTCTTGCAGGACTCCCCTCCTCCCCCTTGAGGCGCCTAGTCCTAAGGAAAGCAAAATGGCAAACGGTAGCTCATCATCCCGCTCAAACCCATGGCGTTCAAAGGTTAACCTTTAGTCTTGTTCCAGCCACCATTAAAAGAAAGCCAACAACCAAGAGCCCAGAATCTGAAAGGACCCTTTGGTAGACATCATTTACATGCGGATGTATCTCCAACCAACCCATTTTTCGAAGGGTTGGTGCCATACTCGTTTCGTCAATTCAGCCCAATTCAAAGGCTCGCTCCCAGCCTCAGCATCAATCTTCGTGAGGCCCGGCAGGTGATGAAGGATGTACTGCCGGTAGTACCTGTTCTGTGTCTGCGAGGCTCGGCATCCCTTTCAGCTTTGAAAGGGAAACCAAAGGCCCGTCTTTTTGGTGTTCGCTCTTCTTTTTGCATTTTTTTTCTGGGGGGGAGGGCAAATCCCCACTTGACACATTCATGCCCTGGGGCAGTTCCAACATCACGTCACAATCGAGCAGAAAAACCTGGAACTCTGACTCCATCGAAAATGTGCGAATGGAAAAGTCTGGTGACCGGTATCCCAATAAAAACAAGCAATATCAAGACTGCTGCTACTACCCTCCACTCACAGCGCACGGCAAGTCTGCACAAGGGTTGTCTGCCAGCCAGAGGACCTGACAAAGGGCTGGCGCCCCTCCGAGCAGGTAGATTGGGTGGCCCTAAATGGGTAGCAAGTTGGTTCTGGCATGCTACCCACATGATTGTCCTTTGTGCAAGCTGGAACCCGTGCATTCAGGGTAGATCCCCATTGTCCAAGGTCGGCCTTCGACCTGTGTCCGGCTGTCAACCATACGCATCAAGCTTCAGTTGAAAGCGGAGCGGAGAGAAATCAGGAGGTACCCATGCCCCGCAACTCAGGGCTGAACAAGACTCGACTCCACAAATATTGCGGGGACAACGTTGCATCAGCAGAAGCCACGAATCGCAAAGACTGCGTGATTGAATGACGAGCCCCATCTTACGTCTTGCGTTCTGGCGCGAGAATATATGCCGCAACAAAGGATACCATTCAAAATGCTTCTTCTGGTCGCCGATCCACAGTCGCATGGAACCTGACCGAAGTTGCCTTTGGGAAAAGGTTGTTTGGTTTCCCGCTGCTGTTCACGCCAAATCCTGCGGTTGTCTCCGGACGCAATAGCGCCATAAAATACCCATGAAACTTGCGTGCTTGATTCTATCGGGCATGCCACAAGTCAGCAACACCAGCAACTCCACTTAACCCGAACTCATCCTCAAACCTGAACTGGGTTGGTCTTAGACCCCGTGCGAAAAGCTAACTGTCCGCACATATTATAACTGTTACGGCAAAGCTGTGCACCTTGTACAAACTGTGTGCTGGGTAGGGGAGATGTGCCTCCGTCCATTGACACGTGCCAACCAGCACACAAGTGACAAAGCCCGACTTTGGGCTCAATCTTTTGCAAATTGAATCTTCCGGGCAAGACTTCCCCCTTGCTTCCACCCGTGTTCTTTCTAGAAGGGGCAAAATCTGAAGCCATGCGTAGACTTGCTGCAGTGGTGAATATGGCTATCAACGTTGACGGGAAAACCCCCCAAAACAGTGGTTGGTGGACTTGAATCAAATCCCCATGCAATTGATGTCCAAAGAGCCCAAATTACAAGACAACAACCAACTGGAATCATTCGAAGGAGCTTGCCTCAGTTCTGTTTGTTCGAGCGAATGCAGCTTTCTGGCCTTCATCCGGCGCAGCCGCCGCAAATACAGGATCTCTGACCTGGGGAAATCCTTCGGCTCGTTCGACGTGCGGCCCACGTCTGACGGGCGAACTCCTCCGAACACATTTGCCGCCCATGAAAATCACAGGGCGGTGCCCGAAATCGAGGAGCCTTTCGGCGGACAGTCGTCATATAAATCTCCGATTCCCACGACTGCTGGGGCGGTTAAGCCCCCTCTGGCGGGAATCAAGTTCCTACACCCAAGGTGCCTCATTCAGGAGAAAGACTTGACATCCGCTATCCATCTGAAGAAAACTCACAGGGGCGGCGGGCAGCTTCCATCTTCCTGGGCCCACCTTCGCCTCTTGAGCTCGGTCCGCCTCGAATCTGACCGAGCAAACCCGCCCAAGCTCCAGCCAAGAGATCTGCCCGGCTCGGAATTGCCCCGTCCCATCGGCTCCCCTCCCCCTGAGCTGAGCCGCAGGTCTACGATCTCGTTCTTCCGCAGGTAGAGCCTGTCGGCCGGGTCGCCCGTGGTGCAGAGACCAAAAAAAAGAAGAGGCCATCATGCACACTGATGTCTTCCAAACCAAGCCTACACTGGTGTGTATGTGGTGCAAGTCTTATCCCAGCCCATGTTCCACAAAAGGATCTGGCAGCAACCCAGCTGGAGGGAATTTAGCAATACACTTGCGGGCTTGCACTTCAAGATGCCCATCATGCGTGGGTGCGAGCAAACTGTCCTCACTTCCCTCATTTGGAATGCCCAACCAGAGACAATGAAAACCCTCTTTGCGGACTGCGTCGCCAAAAGTGATGGGGCTCCTTATCTTGGCAGCATTTGCTCCAAAACAGTCGGCTCCTTGCCTCTTGCCCGCTTCCTCAACTGCCGTCGCACCACCCCCCGATTGAGGCCCCCGCTCCGAAAGCCGCGGACAGTGCCTGGGAGAGTGCGAGCACGCGCCGCGAGACCGGCGCCCCATCTCTCTGATGGAATGGAAAGTGCCTGTGCCCCAGTGGAAACGTTCACATGCTGGTGGGCACACCTTCACGATCCAAGGGACCACATGCAAGATATTGCCAAGAACGTATAGTGGATCACGTTGAGCAATGGAAATCGCAAGGTGGAACATGAAGGCGACGCTACCACCCTACTAGACACGTCACATGTGATCTACAAAGCAAAGACGGGCAGGCTGACCCTGCTGGCAACAGCATGGAAGAACATCTTTCAAAGCTTTAAGTCCAAGCCATGCCTGTGTTCGTATCATGTTGGCAAGCTTCATGCAACTAACCCCTGAGCTCTGGTGATGCCTTGGCCTCCCTGTTGAGAGCACCCCCCCTTGCCCAGAGCGATCTCTTCCAAAGTCAAGCCGCTGGAGGTCCACTAGCGTAGAGACCTGGTTCACACTCAGGCTCAGCACCTGCAAGCGTCAACACAGGGTGGACTGAGAGAAGCGTTTCGACACGAAGGTCGAATTGTTTGCATAGCAGGTGCACTGCATCGGTGAGCCACTGGTTTCTCTGTTGGACCCGAAACGAAAAATCAAAAGGAATAAAAGATATGCTCCAGGTGTGATGTCTTCCATGCTAAATCAAGGATGTGTTGAAAGAATCTGCATGGTTTCTGAATTTTGAAGCCAGGGCTTCATAGAAACACACCAACAAAGTCCTGTATCATAAATGGTATGAAGCGGGCCATTCGAGATTGCCAAGGAGAGAATCGAGGGAAAAGGCGCGCAGGACCAGCTCCTTGGCCCAGACTCATCACCCTTATGCGGCGCACGCCTCCAGGTTGGGCATGCACTGAATCACCTAGAGTGCGCCGTCGCTACGCAACATGAGACCCGTCCGAAAAAGAAAACAAAAGCTTGGAAAAACTTCTGGGCTCTATGTCCGCATGCGTAGAGAATATGTGAGGTTTGTGCTGAACCAATCCACCCTGTTCGGGGATCTGCTCTCCTTCTCCGATTGGCCTCATGGAACATCCTGACAACTCCATCTGCATGTCTCGTTCTATCAAAAACATGGACTGAAAGAGAATGTTGCTGTCAGTCAAATAAGCGGTTGACTTGCCTCAACATCCTAGCAGAAATGGGATTCCCATAAGTCTATAAGTCTGGTTTCCCCATATTGTCCTAAACAAGACTCACGCTCGAAAACAGGCCCATCTGTGGGCCCAGCGCTGATGTCCTGCGGGCGACGTACAAGCAATTCCCACACGGCTAGTCAATTATTGCCATGTCGTGCAACTAGAGGGGCAGCAAAACGGGTTCACTCCGAAAAAGGTGGCATCATGAGGAGCATGATCTTGCAGGTCCATTCTGTGATCCCAACTCAGATTTCAGGAAGGTCATCCCAGAAAAGCACTAGCTCTGGTTCAAAGAGTGACTTCTGCACACCCTGAATACGAAAACAACGTCCGCACGAGACGCCGACGTCTCGAGTCGCAGTCCTGCAAATCGTTGCCCCAAAGGTTCAGGTTCTTGATGAGGTCCTCAGCTTCTTGCACAGAATTGTTACGCGCTGCAATTGATTAGTTCCTTGAACACATACCAAAACATGGATGTCCCTGAAAACTGGGGCCACAGTTGGTTCCCGGTTGGAACAAGCTTGTGACACTCATCTGCTCTGACAAGTACCCGTCTCACCACGGCGCATGGTGAAGCAACTCCTGTGGCAAAGCCCGACTCCACTTGCAACCGAGTCGAATCGACCAGAAGGCCCACGCCATGCGGTTGCACTTGGTCCGCATGAACACCATCTCCTTCACCGGAAAGAATTTCTACCGAATGGCCGGGAGGTGTATCAATCAAGCATCAAAGTGGAGAGCACCACGCATGGTACCAGGTATGTCTTTTTCCACAAACGGAGCCAAGAAGTGCCAGCATCCAAATGCGGGAAAATACTCGGGTCGTTGGCCGGGACGTTGCACAGCCGCCAAGGCGCTCAGCCGAGCACAATGTCGAGAGAGAAACTGATGGCCGGCTTGCCACCCCTTGAAAAACCCTGTCAGGGCGGTTAATACAACCACAACAAGCATGGGAACCACCTCCTCCCACCTACCAAAGGGCAAATGACTAGGTAACCAGAAGAAAATCATGATGTCCGAGGAAGTCTTTGAGGCCAACTCAACTTCCATGCGCAGCCTGTCCTGGGTGAGCGCTCGCCCCTCACCTTGGCGACCATTACTTCTCGGCCGGCCCGCTCAACCAATGTCTGCACTTCCATTCAAACTTGGCCGTGTGCCCTCGCATGTTGCGAGACCCGACCCCGGACGAAGAAACTCGCCCTGAGCTTCCCGCGCCGCGGGTCGGCCCTGGGCATGCGCGGCAAAAGCCGGATCAAAGGGACATGCACCGAGGGCAGGGACACAAGTCAGCTTTGACACTTAGACAAGCGGAAACACACAATGCACATCCTGTCGCTCAACAGGTGAGTGCCTTTGCTGGTTGGGAAACCAACCCGCTATATATATATATTCGAGGAAACCGAGATGTTCGGCCAGGCCACCAGTGTTCCGTACGGTCCCAAGCATGCCGGAATGGTTCCAAATAGCGTGAAAATTCGGGGATTATGCCAAGCCGGCTTGCAACCAGAGTTTGAGGAAGAAAACTGTATTTTCTTCCTTGAACAATATTGCTGTTCTCCACCAAAGACGTGCCAAACAAAAAGTGAAGATAACTGCTGCCAAGGTGCATGGGTCCCATGGCGGCAAGCCGGCGCCGGACGGGCTAATTGACCAGGGCGCGTCAAGTGTGCCATGCTCCGGTTCAGGCTCTGGCTCTGGTGAGAATATCCCATCTTACAGATTGAAATCAGACTCTCTTGCAGAATAGAGTGCCATGTGCTGGAACCGCGCAGAGAGCAAACATGGTCGACACTGCACTGGCGGTCATCATCTGCATACTTTGATCACTCGCAAGTGCCTTGTGGCGAAATCGCCAAGGGAGCCAATGCCGTTCTCATGTATGTCTTCCCCCTGGTCAATTCATCTCCCTCTTCGTGCCTTTCACCCAGCTCAGCAACAAATTGGTCCATGGGGAGAGGCCCTGTCCATCTTTCATCTGAAAGAGTGGGCGGCCACCAAGTTGCATGTCATCTCCTCCCGCGAGTAAACAAAACTGTCCTCGAAATGAAGATGCATTTTGGAAAACCCTGTCCATCCTGAGCGTCCCTTGCTCTTGCTCAGTTTGAAGCAACCATCTCCCCACCTTTCTTTCAAATGGGCTCCTCCCTTGTCGACCAGAAAAGCTTTCCAGCATCCACGTGTAGTTCAAGAAGCCCGATAGATCGGTTTGTATGCTCAGAAGACAGTTCAAGTGCAAGCAAGCCAACAAATACGTCCTGGACAAATACGTCCCAAGCACACACACACACACCACAGCAGCCAGTACCTTAGAAGTTCCCAGCAACTAAAGAACGTGCTTGCTCCTTCTGTTGGCACCAACTGCCCCCCATGCCCCAGCCCCCATGAACCGTCCATCCCCTCCCGGTGACGAGCACAACGTCCGCGTTTTGGGGCGAAAACCGTTGGCCAGGGCGCCTTCCAGAGTTCGGAGGTGCCAAAGCCCCGGGAGAGCGGCTGACAAAGCATGAGGAAAGCGAGACGTAACTGGAACTGAAAAAAGATTCCACTAAAAAATAAATGAAACCACTGGAATCCACCTATGTTCGACCAAACTGACTTGAATGGACACCTATGACAATAATTAACCACCGGTCAGCATTGTCCAAACAGCCCTGAACAAAGATGAAACATCTCTCCCCCTTCCTCGCATGCGTCTCGTGCCTAACGGTACATGGAATGCCATCCTGACGCCGGCCAGGCGGCTTTGACCGGGTCCCATGGAGCTCCCATTGTGGATTGCGAAATCCGATTGAGATTCAATACATACATACATACATACATACATACATACATACATACATAAATACATACATACATACATGCATGCATGCATGCATGCATACATACATACATACATGCATGCATGCATGCATGCATACATACATACATACATACATACATTACATACATACATTACATTACATTACATTACATTACATTACATTACATTACATTACATTACATTACATTACATTACATTACATTACATTACATTACATTACATACATACATACATACATACATACATACATACATACATACATACATACATACATACATACATACATACATACATACATACATACATACATACATACATACTACATACATACATACATACATACATACATACATACATACATACATACATACATACATACATACATACATACATACATACATACATACATTACATACACATACATACATACATACATACATACATACATACATACATACATACATACATACATACATACATACATACATACATACATACATACATACATACATACATTACATACATACATACATACATACATACATACATACATACATACATACATACATACATACATACATACATACATACATACATACATACATACATACATACATACATACATACATACATACATACATACATACATACATACATACATACATACATACATACATACATACATACATACATACATACATACATACATACATACATACATACATACATACATACATACATACATACATACATACATACATACATACATACATACATACATACATACATACATACATACATACATACATACATACATACATACATACATACATACATACATACATACATACATACATACATACATTACATACATACATACATTACATACATACATACATACATACATACATACATACATACATACATACATACATACATACATACATACATACATACATACATACATACATACATACATACATACATACATACATACATTACATACATACATACATTACATTACATACATACATACATACATACATTACATACATACATACATACATACATACATACATACATACATACATACATACATACATACATACATACATACATACATACATACATACATTACATACATACATACATACATACATACATACATACATACATACATACATACATACATACATACATACATACATACATACATACATACATACATGCATACATACATACATACATACATACATACATTACATACATACATACATACATACATACATACATACATACATACATACATACATACATACATACATACATACATACATACATACATACATACATACATACATACATACATACATACATTACATACATACATACATACATACATACATACATACATACATACATACATTACATACATACATTACAGACATACATACATACATTACATACATACATACATACATACATACATACATACATACATACATACATACATACATACATACATACATACATACATACATACATACATACATACATACATACATACATACATACATACATACATACATACATACATACATACATACATACATACATACATACATACATACATACATTACATACATACATTACATACATACATACATACATACATACATACATACATACATACATACATACATACACATACATACATTACATACATACATACATACATACATACATACATACATACATACATACATACATACATACATACATACATACATACATACATACATACATACATACATACATACATACATACATACATACATACATACATACATACATACATACATTACATACATACATACATACATACATACATACATACATACATACATACATACATACATACATACATTAAATACATACATACATACATTAAATACATACATACATACATACATACATACATACATACATACATACATACATACATACATACATACATACATACATACATACATACATACATACATACATTACATACATACATTACTTACATACATACATACATACATACATACATACATACATACATACATACATACATACATACATACATACATACATACCATTACATACATTACATACATTACATACATACATACATACATACATACATACATACATACATACATACATACATACATACATACATACATACATACATACATACATACATACATACATACATACATACATACATACATACATACATAACATACATACATATACATACATACATACATACATACATACATACATACATACATACATACATCACATACATACATACATACATACATACATACATACATACATTACATACATACATACATACATACATACATACATACATACATACATACATACATACATACATACATACATACATACATACATACATACATACATACATACATACAATACAAGCATACAATACATACAGCATACATACAATACATACAATACATACATACATACATACATACATACATACATACATACATACATACATACATACACATACATACATACATACATACATACATACATTACATACATACATACATACATACATACATACATACATACATACATACATACATACATACATACATACATACATACATACATACATACATACATACATACATACATACATACATACATACATACATACATACATACATACATACATACATACATACATACATACATACATACATACATACATACATACATACATACATACATACATACATACATACATACATACATACATACATACATACATACATACATACATACATACATACATACATACATACATACATACATACATACATACATACATACATACATACATACATACATACATACATACATACATACATTACATACATACATACATACATACATACATACATACATACATACATACATACATACATACATACATACATACATACATACATACATACATACATACATACATACATACATACATACATACATACATACATACATTACATTACATACATTACATTACATACATACATACATACATACATACATACATACATACATACATACATACATACATACATACATACATACATACATACATACATACATACATACATACATACATACATACATACATACATACATACATACATACATACATACATACATACATACATACATACATACATTACATACATACATTACATTACATTACATTACATTACATACATACATACATACATACATACATACATACATACATACATACATACATACATACATACATATATATATATATACATACAGTTGAGTGCATGCTTGCATGCCTGCGTGCGTGCGTCGTATGTAGGTATGAATGTAGGTATGTTTGTAGGTAGGTGGGTGGGTGGGTAGGTAGGTATGTATGCATGTATGTGTGTATGTATGTATGTAATCATGTATGTATGTATGTATGTATGAATGTATGAATGTATGTATGTCTGTTTGTATATATGTACGTGTATATGTTGGTTGGTTGGTTGGTTGGTTGGTCGGTTGGTTGGCTGGTTTGTTTGTTTATTTGTTTGTTTGTCTGTCTGTTTGTTTGCTTGCTTGCTTGTTTGTGTGTTCGTTTGTTAGTGTATGTATGGACGTTTGTAGTTATGCTTGTACATTTGTTTGTACGTGCGTAGGTGCGCAATTGCGCACGCATGCACGTACGCTATGTATGCATGTACCTATGAATGTATGGATTAATGCATGCATGCATATATGGGTGTGTGTGTGTGTGCGTGTGCGTGTCTAATTTGTACGTACGTGCGAACGTATGCACGTGCGTATGTGCGTCTGTACTACGACGCACGGATGTGCGTATGTACGCATGTACGTATGTGCGTATGTACGTATGTGCTTGTGCTTGTATGGACGTATGTACGTACATTTGTATGTACGTATGTACGTATGTACCTATATACGTATGTACGTGTGTATGCATGTATCTGCGTGTGTGTGTGTGTTGTATGTATGCATGTATGCATGTATGCATGTATGCATGTATGCATGTAGGTATGTAGGTATGTACGTATGCAGGTATGTAGGTATGTAGGTATGTAGGTATGTAGGTATGTAGGTACGTATGTATGTATGTAGGTATGTATGCATGCATGCATGCATGTATGTATGTATGTATTTGTGTATTTACTTATGTATGTCTTATGCAGAGCTTGTATGTGTTTAATTATTGTATGAATGTAACGTAATGTAACATAATGCAATGTAAATTGATGTAATGCAATATATGTATGTTGTTTTGCGTGTGTAATGCAACGTAGCGTGTATGATGTATGAAACGTGTAGTGTATGTAATGGCATGTAAGGTACGTGTCTGTATGTCTGTATGTCTGTATGTCTGTATGTCTGTATGTCTGTATGTCTGTATGTCTGTATGTCTGTATGTGTGTATGTCTGTATGTCTGTATGTCTGTATGTCTGTATGTCTGTATGTCTGTATGTCTGTATGTCTGTATGTCTGTATGTCTGTATGTCTGTATGTCTGTATGTCTGTATGTCTGTATGTATGTATGTATGTATGTATGTCATGCATGCATTCATGTGTATGTGTATGTGTATGTATATGTGTATGTGTATTTGTATGTGTGCATGTGTATGTGTGTGTGTAGAGAAAGGTAGGTAGGTACACTAGGTAGGTAGGTAGGTAGGTACGTACGTGCGTACATATGTGTGTGTGTGTGTTCGTAGGTAAGTAGGTATGTAGAGGTAGGTAGGTATGTACGTATGAAGGTAGGTATGCATGTATGCAGGTGTGTAGGTATGTAGCTATGCAGGTATGTAGGTATGTAGGTCCGCACATAGGAAGCGGGTAGGTACGTATGTCATACATGCATGTATATTTGGTCAATCGACCATTTGGAAGCAACCGAGTTCGATTCGTCCAATTCATCTTCCCATGGCATGCTCGCTAGGGACCTATTTACAGGCAGAGGCGGTGTCCGTACCGCCCCCTCACCATTAACTCACATTGGCAACCTGGAAATCTCACCAGTCCTCGACTCGACAGACACTGGGTTCAAAGCAGGACGCTGTGTGGGGGGGGGGCCTCCACATGATGAAAGCAAGACTGAAGGGGAGTCGGTTCTAGCCTGCAATTTCGCAGCGGTCCATGAATGGTGAGCGCAGCACTTGGTTCATTCCCTTCTCTTGAGCGCCGGACAGTCCGCAAGGCCTGCATCCACAAATCCGGCAGCCCGTTTTTTTGAAAATGCAGGTGGCGTCTGGCACACGAATCTAACTCCATCCAAGTGCTCAAGGATATGAATGTCTCCTGCAAATCCATGAAAGCTTCCACAGCAAAGCCTTGGCAAACCCTGGTCTTCCAGAGTTGGTCAGACCAAATCGCCCCATAACACCACAAAGTGAGACCAGTCTGGCCCTTGGATCCCAAGAAAAGGACTGTCGACATCCAACCGCCTTCCCTCCCCTCCCGCTCCCTCTCCCGGCCATCAATCGGGTCTCCATCGCGTCCTCTCCAGGAGCCCGCCCCACTCCAGGCGGTCCAGGAGCCGCTGCAGCTGAAGTCGCACCTGCCAAAGCCACCACCCCGTCACCGTGGCGAAGAAAGCGGCGAGCTTTGGCCCTGCCCATGACATGTTCTTCGTATTCTTCTTTTGGAAGTCAGGCGGTCGGATCGGTCCACCCGCATCTCATTGCCTGTCGACGCCTCGAACCTTTCAAGCAGCTGGCAAAAAACAAAAAATGCAGCCCCACTCACGAGTCAAAGCCGACGAAGAGCAGTGGGTCGAAGACCAGGGGTCGGCCTTTCTGGGTATCAAGGTGGGTATTTGTTTGCAGCATACAGCGTCTCTCCATCCATGACTCACTCCCAGACCAAGCGGCTTCCGAGTGCCAAAGAAGCGGCTCGCCGGCAGCATCCGGGTCTAGCACCAACCAAAGCCCCGCCTCGTCCAGAGCTTCCTGCTGCTTCGCCACTGCCAAGGCTGTGGCGGGCAAGTCCTCCTTGCTGGCAAGGGTGCACGGAAGAAAAGTTGAGAAGCCTGTTGCTGGTGGCGAGTACGGGAACATGCAGGGAAATCAACAAGCAACAAGATCAACCAAGCGAAGCCTGGCAAGGGAACATGATGGAACTGAAGACCCTTTTATCTGCAGTGAAGTACTTGCTATCCGGTTGCTTTGACACTTGCAACATGCATCATTTCTTCCTGTCCTAGTTGTCTACTAAGTCAAAGCCCAAACAACCTCATGCGATTCAATAAGGGAGGTTGGAGGGCGACAAAAAGGCAAACATCGCGTACTTGGATTGTCTCAGTTCTCTACATTGGAGCTTCAGACCGATTAACTGCACCCATGCGTGATACAATGACTTTAAGCATATCCGTAGAAAGTCGCCACCTACAAACGCTGGGCTTCCAGAGTCCCCGCTCACAGCATCCAAGCACCTTTCGCCAAGCTCTTAGCATCGCTATGGCTGCTTTTCGCTGGAAGGTCTTGCAGGCTGTTTGAAGCAAGGGCTTAGGAAACTTCAGGGTGGTTTGTGGCACGCCAGAACCAGCCCCATGGCAAGCCGGGATTTCGTCCATCCACAGTCTGTCTAGCTTTGGTTTTGCCTTGAGGAAGCTTGTGCCAGGATTAGACAAGCATAGGTTAGGAAAGCGCTAGCCTAGTGGAGCTGTGAAAGCATCGACAATGTCATGCCTTTGCCAACGCACTCACAAACAGCTGCTTGAACCAGCCCTGAAGCTGACACAAACCAGCCCCAGTCATATCCACCCAAAGAGCCCCAGCCCTTCACCCAAAACCCCACCTGCGCAGGCTCTTCACCAGCCTCAAACTTCCAAAAACCGCTTTCTCAACCAAAAAAAGAAGCCGTCCACGGCAAAACATGGGTCGTGCAACCGCGGGCCCAGCTCCCCCGCCTCACTGAGCCTCCGCTGCAACTCCTCCCGACAGAGGCTCCGCAGCCTCCGGGAGCGACGAAACGTCCCACTCCAGGGGTCTGTGAATGCTTGCACCCCAAGATCCGAGAAATACGAAGGGATTCAAAAAAGGCGACTTGCCATTCCAACTGAAGCAGATGGGCCAAAATATCCAGCTCGTTCACCTTGAGGGGCTTTGGCAAAAAGTCATCCACGCCGTCAGTTCAAGCACGACGAAGTCATCGCGCCGCTAAGATGCAGTGGAACCGCAACACTTCAACGATTTCCGCTGCAAGCAAAAATGGTGTGCAGCGACCGCTTGAAGCGCTGGCACAAAATATGTTGAAAGGCATATGTCCTGGTTGACAACATGCTGGCTCCTGTTGGGAGTCCCAACATGCGTGTGTCTTCAGGTGTGGGAACCCTTCAGGGCTTCCATTTGGCGTCCCTTCAAAACAAAAACCAAAAAAAAAAACGGGACCCCCGGACCACCCCCACATCCCTCCCTCCCCCCTCTGAGCTCCGCAGCTGCAGCGGCGTCCGCTCGCACCGCTCCGCACAGCTCTGCAGCCTGCAGCTTCTGTTTGGATCCGATTGAGGCGTTTCCGAAAGGAGACACCATACAAAAGGGGGCTGGCCTTTCACTTCGCAAATTCTCAAACACCAAAAGAAGTCCACATGTTTAGACACCGCCCAAACGGCAGCTTCAGATTGGGTGTCCCTTCTAATCTCACCAAGAAAGGACCCCTCGTTGAACACATCCCCACTTGGCTGTGCGCCAGATTGAGCAACAACTACGTGCGCCACAGTCAAAACTCCTGGTGAGAGGCATTGCCATGCTGCCCTCACTGGGCACTGCTGGGGTAGTGTACAAAGCATCTGTTGCCTGTGACCAAGAGAGAAGTAAGGCCAGCAAATTGATTCCTGGCAAGACTCAATCCGAGTGTAGCTGCCTGTACACCTAGGCACGGAAAAGCTGGAATAAATATGAATTCAGGAGCCCAAGAACATGCCCCACAATCCCCACAGCAGGGGTTCAACAGCTTCGCGGTGTGAAGCATCATGTCCTCAGGCCGGTAAAACAAGAAGCTTCCCTCTGACTTGCCATTGGCGCCTGAAAACTTTGAGATTGGATTGAGGAGATCGCTGTGTGGCCCACATCCGGTCATGTCTTCCTTGCTTTGATGTCTGAACCGTGGAACGCTCCGTTTCATCCAGGCCGGCAGAAAGGACATGCCCCTCTCGCCTCTCATCCTGGGTCCCTATGCGCCGGGACACCATCTCAACCCGCACCTCGCTGCAACTAGCGCCGCGGACAGTGTAGTGCAGGCGGAAATATGTTCATCTGGTGTTGAGAATTAAAAATTGCGGCAGGTTCATCAGTGCCCGTGTGCTCTTCCCAAATCGAAGGTTCCATTTCTTTGTTTGCTTCTAAAGGGAAGCGCAAAGTGTGCAAACAGCCAACAGGTCCAGAAAGGTCCTCTTTGCCAGCTCGCCCCCCACACCTTTCCAACTTTGTGTAAGGACCTGAAACGAATCCGACCACAATCACTTCTCTTTCTACAGCCAAAAGAAGCTAAGCAGCTACCAAATTGGTGCCTCCAACAAGCCATGCCATTTCTTCTTGGCCTTCCTGATGTGTCAGGTTGTTCTTCATTGTTTGGAGGAGGCCTCACAAAACGCCCCTGGTCGGTGTCAATTAGATGCAGTTTCAACCCTGTCACCGACCTGCTTGGAGCCTGATGGAGATATAATCATCCAGGGGGCTGGTACGGCATCGTCAACATTAGTTAGACCCCAAATTCAAATGGTGAAGGTTTCACGATTCCTGTCTCAAGAAGAGGGTCCCTGATTGACAAATCCCCACAACCTGCGTGTCAAAGCTAGAGACCCTAGATCATATTGGTTTCCTCGTATCGGCCAAATCGGGGTACTTGTACCAGTCTTGACATACCCCAACGCTGACCGGCAACGTTCCCACCTCAAGCTCCTGAAGCTTAGACGCTCGGTCTGCCACCTCTTCCGCCTGGCGCCTCGGGTGCCAACAGGCAGAGCCCTTGCCCGCATACCACGAGAGCTGCATCCAGCAGGCTGCGCATCACGATTGCAGAGAGATGTGGCACTTTCTAGATCCAGGATCTATCGGAGTCTAGCTCACGAAAAGACAGTCACTCGGGCCTATCTCGGCCCGACCTCTGCTCCAAGAGCCCGGCTGGAGCTTCTGCAGAAGCTCAGGCACCTGGCACGGACTCGCGGGTTCGGCCAAGTCCCCCCTTTACCTTCTCAACCCAGCCTTCAGGTGTGTGTGTGTGTGTGTGTGCGCGGTTTCCCGTGTTTAACTACGTTCGGAGCAAATGACAGCCCGGCCCCGCCTCGTGCTCAAGCGGCCCCTCTTGTTCGGTTGATCAAGTGGGGCGGGGCGGGGCGGGGCGGGGCGGGGCGGGGCGGGGCGGGGCGGGGCGGGGCGGGGTGGGGTGGAGTGGGGTGGGGTGGGGTGGGGTGGGGTGGGGTGGGGCACGTGCTCTTTAGAGGACTTGCTTTGGCCGGGCGGCATGCAGGTAGTGCCCAAGGCACGTGCCATACGTTCAAGAGATGCACCTACTTCACTCTTGATTGCTGTGTGCTCGCGGCTTGATCGACACTGGCTACTTGCTAGTTGCGCTGAACACTTCACTGATGCTTGGGATACCCGCGCCTGCTCGTGCGTGAATCCCAAGATTTAAGATTCCCTCTATTGGTGGGTTGACTCACCCGCAAGTCCCTTCAAAGTAAACTTTAAAAAAGTGGCCTCCCCACCACACCGAAAGGGCAACAATAGCCAAGCCTGGCGCTCCAGGTCTGCCAGCACCAGCATCAGCCGGTCCTGGAGACGTCAGTCTGCGCTTACCCTCCCAACAGCAAATATGGAACCAAGGGTCCCCTCAACCGGGAAACCCTATTTCAAATTCCATGCTTGGTTTGAGGGTAAAATTAACCAACCAGAAGTCAGCAATTCCCAACTAAGGCTCATGTTGCCCACAAATTCGCTCGCTGGAGTCAGCGCACCACTCGCATTCTAAGCCAGGGTTTACCTTTAGCTGTCCTCCTTGTGCCCGAGTCCTCCTTGTACGTACTTGAACATCAAGGTCCACTAAGAAAAGGGCGTCTGCCTGCGTTCGTGGATTCTCTGGACGCCGCCTTAGACCAAAATTGTTCAGTCAAGGATCACTCGCGGCCTAGTTTCTAGTAAAACCTCAAAGCCAAGACTGGTTCTCCAATCAGCATGTGCGCAGGAACTGGCAAGCCAAACGAAGAGCCCAAGCTTTGGCTCTTCAGATTTGAACAATCAAGCATGTGTAGCGTTCCAATCCAACATTGAAGCCAACAAAAAAAACCTGGGTGCCCGACACTCTGCAAGTGCATTCCCGCTCCTCCAGCGTCTCTCGCAGCTCGCAGCAGAAGATCTCCAGGTGTTCCAACTGCAGGTTTTTAGGGACCCACCCACAGCAGGGCCAAAGAGAAGACAAAAGTATGAGGCTCGCAAGCCCTGCCTTGTTGCACTTGAGCACTTTGGCATTGACAACCCCAGTGAGTGGGACACAAACCCGAAGCCATCAAAAAGTGTGAACGCCCAGACCCATGAGCATCTTGAGCATCCCTGCGAGTTGCTACAAAACGTTGACCGCCTCAAGGCTTCAAGGAAGGATGGGCACATGCCAACCAGGACGCTCTTTTTGGTGCCAAAGTTGAGGCCAATTTGTCTTTGGGCCTACCCGCGACTGGACATGATGCATATGAAAAGCCGTGCACGCAGCCTTCGCCGCAAAGGCATCAGAGGTGTCCTGGCATGGCACAGCCAAGCTTTGAGCCTGGCTTGTCAGCGCTTGTCTCAATTCTAACGCACACGTTGCTCAACCTTGCACTTGCACTTCAGACATTTGATGGCCCTGACAAACAGGGCCGGCCAAGTTCCGATTTGGACCAACCTCTTGCCACAATCCCCTTTTTGGGTGGTGTTTGCCTTCAACACAACCCCACAAAGGTGCCCTCAACAGAAAGACTCTCGACCACGCCTGCAGCTTTGGACTCCTGGCTGTGCACTCTGCGTTCTTGATGTTGCGCTTCTCTCGTGACAATGAAGTGAGTGCGTTCTTTTATGGATTTCAAGGAACGGCAAACCACATTGTTGGGGGACCATAAATTGGAACTTGTAGAGTATATCCTCAAACATGGGGCCTGGTCTGGCCCGCAAGCAAAGCGCAAGGAAGCATCCTTCTACACCAAGCAAGCTTGCACCGAGAAAAATTATATGAGGCAAAGTCTTAAGTGATCAAAAGCAGATTGTATCAAAAACATATTACACCGGACAAACGTGCGCAAAGAAAGCTTGCATGCTGCTCGCAAAGTAAGCGTGCACAGAGTATGCGTGGGGAGCGAGCCTGCATAACGATGACTTGTGCAAGCACAAGTCACAAACGGGGCTTGCACACCAGATGCGAATAGCATACACGTACTCTGCATGATCACAATATGAACGCACGCAAGCATCTTTCTTGCTCGAAGCATCATTGCAAGGCGTGTGTACAAAGCTGAAAGCAAACTCAGGGACAAACTTACGATTGCACAACGGGGCATGGAAGACAGGAACCCTGAAAGGGCCGTTCTTGCAGGGTTGCTATTTTCACGGCATTGCTCTGACCACAGCCACCTTCTGGATGAAAAAGGCTCCACAGGCTCCGCAGGAGAAACACCAAAAAGACGGCTGCCAGGCCCAATTCGGATGCTGGGGACACCAAAAGAAAACCAACCACTTGAAGGGGTCCCTGCTGAGCTACTCCCAACTCCTCCCGCACAACCCTGGAGTCTCCCTGCAGGCGCAGGCGCAGGCGCAGGCGCGGGCGTGGGCGCGGGCGCAGACTTCGCGAGCGCCTGGCAAGTGCTCCGCTGGGTCAAAGCCTCGTGGAAGGACACAAGATCCCTTTCCAGCATGCGAGTGTTCCAACAGGTGTCTGTGGACCATGCTTGGAGGCTAACTCAAACCTAGCAAGACATGAATGTACCCAAAATCATATCAGGAACAGCAAGGGCCGCTGCCTTCAGGATTGGAATGTCGCTACTCGCCTCAAACTTCTCAGGCTGCTCTGTAGTTGGCCTATTGTGGACAAAGAAACGTGGATGTTTGTTTGAGGGTTTCGACTGGTTTTGGCGCAAGTCAACAGCCGATTTAGCACATAAGCATGCAATGTGGACTCCTTCGATTGGAAAGCCCGAGCAACGCTTCTCCCTAACATCAAACACGTCTCAGCGATGCCTCACGTTCCACCCGCAGAATTCTCTCCCTCTTTGCCTGATTTAGAGGGGGACCGAAGTCTCAGTTGTCAAACTTCGAGGACAAAGACTCTCGATGGGTGCTTCCATGACATGGCCTGTGTGAAACATAGCGATTCGTGTCGCACTATAAAGAATTACCCACAGCCAGTTGCAACGAGCTGACAAAGTGCCGGTCCTTTAGCATCAGCCCGCTCAAGGTAAACCTCACTTGGAAGGGCCGATTTGTTATGGTATATTTATACACATATATATATATATATATATACACGCCATAGTAAGACTCTTTCTACGATGCCCTTCCTTCGTTCTTCGAAACACCGTCCCCAAAGCGCAGAACGCGCATGCGGCGCCGCTTATTTCCGCGCGGCGAGACGCGGCGAACTGGCGCCAAAAGGCCTGGCAACACGACCGAAGGAGTGTCACAAGTGACGCGTTTTGGGGAACCCTGGCACATTCAGCTTGGGTTTTGGGGTTCTAAGGCTTGAGGTCTTAGGCCTAAAGCGCTTGACACTTGACATGTACCGTCTGTCGCACCAGAACACGAGGGAACAATGTGATCTGAGCTTGCTTGCGCAAGGTTTCACGCGCCCGAAAGGAAGCAACCGCTCGAGACCCCAAGCCTCGCAGCGTCGCATTGAGGCTCTGCGGCAGCAGCTCGTGCGCTGCGTACCTACGAAGGGCCACAAAAGCATAGGTATCTGTTTCCCTGGGCCTGGCTCTTTTTTGTTTCCCCGCCCCCTTACTGGTACTCCAATGGTTGAGCCTCTCATGACCCTCATTGCTAGTAAGCTACGAAAGGTTGGTGACCATCCCAGCCAACTCCAAGCTTCCATGAGCTGAGCTGAGCCTCCTCAGTCGCCCAAAAACCAGTGATACCCTTTGACCCGTGCTCAGGTCAGATTGGGGTGGCGCCAAACCAAAATTCGCCTCGGCCCCAAAGGGGCCAAGGGCGCTCAGATCTCTTCTCCAAAGAGAATCTTCGCTTTTCCCCTCCCCCCCCAACCCCCCCACCCATGTCGGCTGGCCCAAAATCCTGTCCGGCGGGCCTTGAAATTTTCGGGGTTCGTCGGCGTCCAGCTCCATGGGTCCATTTTTGTCGAAAATGTGCTGACAATTGCGAAAAAAAAGCTTTTTTGTCCTGAAAAGCATGACCTCCTGGTGGCCAGGCCTGCCTGACGTGTCTGAGACTAGGCTCAGGCCCAGCCCAACCAGCAACCCGCCTGCTGGCCAGGCCTGTCAGCCCCACCCAGCCTCAGGCCCAAGCTTGTCTGAAACAGGCCTACCCCAAGTCATCCAGCAAGCCCAGCCCAGCGCCCAGCCCAGGCCCTAGGCCGGCCCCAAGGTCAGGTTTGTCTAACGCCAACGACCCAGTCTCACGTCTGAAACTGGTCTCAAGCTATGCCAGCCACCAAGCCCGTCTGACTGCTTGCGTCTGGCCCCAAGCCATCCAGCAGGCCCAGCCCCGTCTCAAAGTACGCCAGCCTGAGACTGGCCTCAGGCCCAGCCCAGCCAACTCGCCACCCAGCCTCGGGCCCAAGTGTGTATGAAACAGGCCTTGCCCATCCAGCAACCCGCCCAAGCACAGCTCAGCCCAGCCCGCCCAGCCCAAGTTCCAGGCACAACCAGCGTCCGGCTGCCCGGCAGCCAGCAACCCACCCATGGCTTCGCAGCCTCGTGGCTGAGACTAGCTTCAGGCCCAGCCCAAAGCCTGCCCAGCCCAGGCCCCAGCGCATCTCAGGGCATGCCAGCCACTACCGGCCCCCAGCTCCCAGCCCACCAGCAGGCTCAGCCCAGTGTGCCAAGGTCAGGTTTGTCTAACATGTCTGAGACTGGCCTCTGAGACTGGTCTCAAGCTATGCCAGCTACTCAGCAGCCCAGGCTGACCAGGCCCCTTCGGCGCAGTCTGAGACTGGTCTCAAGGTATGCCAGCCTGAGACTAGCCTCAGGCCCAGTCCCTCAGCCCGCCTGCTGGCGTGTCTTACGTGTCTAGCCAGCAACTCGCTACCCAGCCTCAGCCCATCCAGCAACCCGCCCAAGCACAGCTCAGCCCAGCCAGCCGAAGTTCCAGGCGCAACCAACACCATAATCCAGCTGCCCAGCACCACCCATGGCTTCGCAGCCTCGTGGCTGAGACTAGCTTCAGGCCCAGCCCAACCAGCAACCCGCCTAAGCCAACCCCACCCAAGCCCACCCGGTTTGAGACTCGCAGGCCTCAGCCTATCTAGCGCCGAGACTGGGCCTCACCAGCCTGGGCTCAACTAGCGTCTAGCCCAGCCCAGTCCGCCTGCTGGCCAGGCCTGTCTGACGTGTCTGAAACTGGCCTCAGGCCCAGCCCAGCCATAGCCCAGCCCCCTCAGTGCGGCTGCCCAGCCCGCCGTAAACTAGCTTCAGCTCAACCAACAACCCACGCAAGCAAGGTCCAGCCAAGCTGCCCGAGACTAGCTTCAGGCCCAGCGCAGGCTTATCTGATGTGTCTGAGACTAGGTTGTGGCCCAGCCCAACCAGGCGAGGCCGGCTTGTCTGACTTGTCTGGAGCCAGCTTCAGGTATTCGGACCTTCCCAACACTGGATTTCGGTGTTCCTGACCCTTCCCTCAAACTAGGCTGGGCCGAGGCGGGCAACGCGAAGCGTTTACAATAAGAAGTTGAGAAAGGGGAGGTGTATCTAGCAGTCCCAGAGTCACGTCGGTTCATTATTTGGAATCTGAGCCCCAACTTGGCATTGCGCCAAACACCGGGGCCCCTGCTGCAAGCTCAGGTTCCCAAAGCTGTATGACACGAAGACGGCGAAGAGCGCCGGATCGTTGCGCAAAGCGCAGAAGACCTCGGCGGACGAAACTCCGCCGCCAAAGGCGTATGTGTCAAAGGGCACCTTCCAATTTTGGTAGTCCTTTGGTTTCGCTTTCTACACAAACCTGGGCCAAAAAACGGTACCCTCGAAAACCACCCAAAGGCCAAGGGAGCTTGGAGGGAAGCTGTGGCTCAACCAGATCAAACATTTTGAAGACAGCCAGGACTGGCGTCGCTTTCTTTCTGCAACGCACCGTGCAAACTTACCATCTGATTCACTGCCTCGCCCACGCTCTCGCGCGCGTCCCGCGTCCGGGCGCCCAGGCGTTGGCCCAAGTGAAGGAGTTGTAGGTGGGGTTCCACCAAATTCCATAGACGGGAACGAGCACCTTCGTTGAAATGAAAAAAGTGTCTCGAATCCGCTCTGCATGTAAAGCAGCTAAGCAAAAACCTCGAAACCAGTGACATGAGGTACCTTAGATTCGTTCTCTTTCTCTGGACTCGAGGCGCCCTTTGATGGACACATGGATGTCTTGGGTTCCGTTTCCATGATCACTTTGCCAAGGTCCAACCCCGCCTCGGGGTGCATCACAAAGCAGAAATAGCCCAGACGAAAAAGTCGGGACACCACCTGGGACAACTCTGGTGCCCTCCCAGATGTTTTTCCCCCAATCTGACCCGAACTTTTTCTGCGAAAGTTCTGGCAGCTTTTGACGTGCTCACAAGGGATTGTGGCAGAATTGTCGCTTGATGGAGAGACGGAGAGACTGCGCAATCAACGAGAAATATTCCTCATTGTCCATGTGGCATGGGAGGTGAGGATTTGTGGGGAAGGGTGGAGGGCAGGATGGGGCGTGGGGATATTGCTGTACGTGGTAGCGTAGAAAAACAAAATCGGAAACCTTGTCAGGCACATGTCCAAGGAAAACGGCAAACCCTTCCTGGCACGCCTCCCGCCTGCTCCAGGGAGATACCGTGGCCCGCCTTGTGCCAGGCGCGGTCTACCTCAAAGACCAGGAACCTCCGGAACTTCTGCGTTCCAGCAAAACGCACAGTGAAGAAGCGCGAAACAAACACGGAGCTGGCACCACCTTCCCCCGGCCTCACGCGGCGCTTTCGCAGCAGGCGGTCCGCGCCTTTGAGCACCAGGGGGTCGAAACCCTCAGCATCCACCTTGAGCAAGAAGACCTTGCGGTCCACCTGCTGAGTCCCTCGAAGCTGATCAACAGGAGAACGCATCGCCAGGCAAGGAAAAAAGCCTTACTCGCGCTCGCCCTCATGCACTTCACGAAGGGGTGTCAAATACGAGGGTGTTACGGGGAGGAGATCAACAGCAAAAGCAGGATGGACCATCCAGCTGGGTCAAAAAGGAGGGGTTACTTGTATGCCACCCGTTCAGAGGGGAGCTTAGTTCAATCAATCAATCAATCAATCAATCAATCAATCAATCAATCAATCAATCAATCAATCAATCAAGCAAATCAATCAATCAATCAATCAATCAATCAATCAATCAATCAATCAATCAATCAATCAATCAATCAATCAATCAATCAATCAATCAATCAATCAACCAACCAACCAACCAACCAACCAACCAATCAATCAATCAATCAATCAATCACAGTGAAAGTTCCCAACAAGCCCCCTTTTGGCAAAGCTGCCTTTGGCGGCTTCCATCTTCCCCGGCCAAACGCACCTCCAGGAAGGACTCAAGGGACACCACTGCGACGCTCCGGCTGACATTGGCCAGCCACCTGTCGACAGGCCACAACTCAGGTTGACAGTGAGTAAGCGAGCCTGGGTCTTTGATCAAGGACACCACAAGGAAAGCCAGTGCCATTTGGCATCCCTCAATTGTCTTATGATCGAAACCACTTTTGAGAAATGGCCCAAACACCTAGGGAACACCTATTTTCTGACCAAAGTGCCAATTTGAGAAGTGACAAGGAATAACAAGGTAAAGGGGACAAACAAAAGAGAATACTCCGCCAAAAAACAAAAGTATTTCCAGAACTCTTCCCAGAAAAGAGTGCTTGACATGTTTCCAGGATCATTGTCCAGGCCCTGTGCTGGGAGGCATTTTATCTTTGAGGGGGTCGGGGGGCAAAACGATACTCAGAGCTCCCAACGTGACCCCAACGTGACAAACCAGGCTAGGCTCCAGGACAGGCCCGCCTCTCCCGCATCACGTTCACGTGCGGCGAGAGCGAACTGCCCAGATCGGTGCCTCGCAAGGAATCTTGGCTCAGAAGGAAAAAGGCGCCTTTCTCAGCGCAAGCCTGTCCTACCAATGTACGGGGGCAATCCTCAACTTGGCCAAGCGGGCCGCCAAAACACCACTGGGCGCGAAACACGCATTCCATGCTATGGCGAGGTCAGAAGTGAGAGTATTGCTCAGGAGCCGAAAACAGCGAATTTGCAGACTTGAATACCCCGCGAAAAAAGCCACGGCGGCAAAGGCCCAATCAGGAAAACTCGTTTACAAATGAACTAAGCTCCATGTTGGCTTGCCCGACACTTCATCAGCCACGCTGTTCATCGCCCATATGCGCCATGGTCAAACTCCTTTATCTCCGCTGTGGGGTCTGCAAGTAACAACTGAGGGGCGAGCCCAAAACTGTCTGTCCATAGCGGGCACTTTCATCCAAGAAAGTATTCTATCCTCCGATCACCAGCCATCAAGGCAAGGAAACAGGACCTGGCTACGTCAAACCTCTACTAGCCCCTGCTTGATTGACAGGTGCTGGTTGAAAAGATGTTTCCTTACTGGATTGAAGTTCCTCCAACAATTCAAACACTTCCGTTCGAGACATGTCAATTTCCAGGCCTCAAGGGAGGTTTAGCCTGTCCATTGCTGAGGACAAACCAAGCTTACTTCGGCTAGCTTGATTTGGCTAGTCCAGCTGTGACCCTCCCCCCCCACATGTTTGATTCCAGTCCATACTCAGAAACCTCTTACATGCAAAGAATCAAACAAGAGATCCTAGGTCGCCCTGACCGGACACGAACACAGCGTTAGGGCGCCTGACAAGCCAAAGAGCTCTGCGTGCCCTGGCGCAGCCGACACCGCCGCGGCCACGGACAGCAGCCGCCGGCCTTCCGAAAGGAAACATGGCTGCGCTTGTCAAAAATAGGGCAACCCCGAAATGGGTTGCCCTGGTAAGATGAAACATGGACCAAGATCTGCAGTCCAATTCCTGGTGGTTTAATTTTGACCCACACCCATATGCAAGCAGCGACACAGCCAGACACACCGCTCCCAAGGCGTCTTGTCCAACCTAACACCTCACCTAACCCCCCACCCCGCCCATCCAACCTGGGCTCGCCATGCGCTTCAGTAGCTTCTGCAGCTCCGCCTGGTTCACGGGGTGCGGCTCGAAGGCGATGAGCTCCAACGTCTCCACTTCCCCGCACCCGGACGCCTCATGGTGGAAAGTTGGCAGATGCTCCGCTGGATTTGGGCATTGGCCGTGGCATGGACGTGCACGTGTATAGATTTGGTGTGTGTGTGTGTGTTTGTGTGCGTGTGTACCTGGCGCCCCGTGTGCCAACGTCACCACCATCCCTCACCTCACTGTACGCACTGTAGATACATGTCCCCGCATGCAACCAGAAACAAAAGAGAAAAAGAGGAAACAACAAATGGGATGCTCTGAAAATAGAATCCCCATTTGGTGGATTCCCTTGGCTTCCCTGAATACTAAACAGCGAACACAAGCATGCATCTGGATCCGTTCCGCTACAACATCAAAATGACTGCACGGAAAAAGCGCATCAAGACAGACATCGCCAAGATAGGTCTCTGTTCTTGCTGGGCACCACTCTTGGGTTGAAAGCTTTTTGTTTCTTCTTCTTTCTTTCCTTTTTTGGGCGGCGGGATTTTTGTTCACTCGGCCTGGCCCAGCACCGAGACCATGGCCTCGCTAGCCCTGCCAGTGTTCGCGCCCACCTCGGCCAGTGAACTGCCAGCCCTGCCACACTCCGGCCCGTTTGGGTGATGCCCCTGTTCTTTTGGGGTGGTCTCCCTTGTTGTGATCCTTTCCTGGTGGGCTCCCTTCTTTGTGTGGTTCTTTTTTTCTTGATTCCCTTGTTTGTTGTCTCCCATTTGTTTGTTGCTTCCTGGGTGACCCTGGCGCCTTGTTGGAGGGACCAAAAAAGGGTACGTGAACCAGCTTACAGGTTTCAGGTGCTAATTTCCGCGGAAGGCGCGTCCAGCAGCAAGCGGCCGCCCCGAGTGAGGTCCCAGGGGAGCTTCAAAGGTGCCAGCAGCGACTCCACGCCCAAGCAGCCTTGGCAAAACTCGGGATGGTTCAGCTTCCCAACATGTCCCTGAGGAACCAGTTCAAACCAATAGATGCCGTTTCATGGTTCGAAACAAACTGAGTGTGCGGCGAAGTGACCTCAAAGGACACCTATGGCCGTGGCTGTTCGACCAAAGTGCCTCAAACAGTGGAATAGCTGCCGGAGTCAAAAGCAGAACATGAAGGACCTCCTTGAATGGTCAAAGGGGACACCAAGGCTTTCAATGTGCTGCTGAAAATCGGCAAAAAGGGCAGTGGTCGATATCAAACTTAGATGACCCGTTGACGTCCTCTGATTCACCTGGCACCAGCAGCCTCTCACACGAAAGCGCCCTGCCCCGCCCGGAAACCAAGCCCATCCTGCCAGGCCGCCGTTCCAGGTACTCAGCGCCTGCTTGCCCAGCCGCAGGAATTGCCGCCGCATCTCCAGCGGCAGGCCATCCGCGCCCATGGAGCTCGTCCACCTGAGGGGACAACACACCCATGGCTGGTGGTTGTCTTCGGCAGCCAACTCGTACCCCCAGTGAACATCCCAATCCCCACTAAAATAGACTAAAAAGGGTGGTGCACCTACCCCAGAATGGTACCATTGGTTTTGACCCGCAGCCATGTGCTTCTGCACATTCCCCAATATGTCGCCGATTTTTGGTCTGAGACAGCTGAATGGACGATGATCATGGCATTGTTCTGGCAAGCCTGAGCTGCCTCCGTATTAAGCTTTTCCTCAAGGGAACCCTCTGCTTATTTACTCAAGAACACAAGCCGTCATAACACTTCGCGAAATATGACATTTTGTGCAAACTCAAACGTTGCAATCTGCTGCTTTGCCAGGCTAAGACAACCAGTTCAAGCGCCAAAGTCGTAACCTCTGCAGCCAACAACAGAAGTCTCGCCAGAGCGAACTCGCAAAAGCATCCCGCTTTTAACGGGAGAAAACACGTGCCAAACGAAGAACCCAACAGGCATCCGTCCCTCTGGGGTGACCTCTGCCCCAGAAACTCCACCGAGGTTCAGCAGCCACAGCCAGGCGAGGCGGTCCATGGCACTGGCCCTGCCGCACGTGTCGGCGGCTGCAGTCCAAGGCAAACTCGTCCTGTTTTGCGTCACGCGGCCATCAAACTCTCGGCAGATCCGCCGACTGAGAATGACCGAAAACGGCTGAGGTTCGGAAATGACGGAAAAAAATGAGTAGCCGCCCAGCCAGCGCCGTGACAAACGTTCAGGTCCAGGTGCCCAGTCGAGCGATCTGCCAGCGTCCCACCTCAAAGCCCAGGCCTCCAGCTGCCCCCGAAGCTCCTCCACGGAGGCTTGAAGCCCCGCCACGCGATCTGAGCTCGAGCGGCTCCCGCCGCTGATGCTTTGCAACGCTTGCCAGACAGCAAAGGGATTGCACACGTGGCAAAGCAAACAAGGCAAGGCAAGGCTCTTGAACAGGCCAAGGAATGAAAGACGATGGCACAGATCCATTCAAAAAGGAACACAAAGTCGGATACCTTTGCCCGCAGGCCTTCCAATAGGTTACCAGGTTCCGCTAGGTTCCAGTAGGTTCCAGTCTTCTTCTGGACAAACTTTGGCTTGTTGCATACTAGCTCGGTTCGGGAAGTTGCGTCACATGGCCTTCTCTGCAAGGTTTCGGAGTGAAAGGTTTCGAAGACCAAAAACGACTTCAGCTGACTCACCAGCCACTCGACGTATCGAACACCCCTTCGACCAACCACCTCTGGGCCTGTGGGCCTCTGGGGCCGCAGCCAGGCTCCAGGCGGACCGCCTGCGGGGTCGGGCGAGTGCAGACCAGGTGTCGTTTTTTTTTTTGTGCACACTCTTCGCGGATTTTTTGGAACCCCTCCCCCCCGTTGCCCATGTTGTGGTGGACTGAAAAAGAAGAAAAAAAAGAAGACACCCACTGTTGTAGAACGCGTGGGGGCCAAATAGAGACATATGCACATACAAATCCACACCAACGAGCACGGTGTCGTTCATCACATCATGTGGGGTGCCTTCCAACTAGCCCCTTCTTTTGTGAACAAATTGCATGCCCCCCAAAGGCCTCCTCGAATGGTCGCGACCTTAGCTGCATTGAGACAGCAGTTCCTCGAATATCAAGCGAAGGCTGCGGGCGTCACCAGGTCAGCGCATGTGTGCCAATAGATTCAGGACGGTCCAAATATGTGGTTTCCAGAAAGAACGTAAAAGAATTAGTGAGTCCCCTCGTTTCTGGAAAGTGGAGTGAGGCCCTCCATGTTCCTTCCGAAAGCATTGAGATTGTTGTTCGTACAGAAGGAGGATGCAGCAGACACATTAACTAAAGGACAAGGATACCACTGTCCAATGCAAATCATGATGGGCGATGGGAAGCATGACACTCAGTACTTTTGAAACCGCCTGAGGTGCAGCGTCTCGAACCTATTCGGGTTTCACCATTCCAGTTGGAAAGTAGTGTCTGTTGCTCCATGGTTTATGATCCTTAGACCCAGCCAGTTCCTTGTGAACCACAGCTGCTGTAGATGTCTACGAATGCCTCAAACCAATCGGGTTCCAAGGCTCAGGCAAAGGCGAGTCGCACCTGCGGCCTCGCAGCTGGGACTGCGCGAACACTGCACTATGTCGTCACGTCACCTCACGTGACGTCACGTGACGTCACGTCGTGTCATGCATGCATGTGTTTGTGTGTGTGTGTGTGTGTCTAAGATTTCACTCTACACGTATATGTTTAGAGACAAACAGAGAGAGAGAGAGAGAGAGCAAAACTCGATGGTATGTACAGTAAATAGAAGCATTTGCGCCCAGAGAGAAGCACATCCAATGCCATCCGCCTTCGAGGCGACCGGTCACGGGCTCGAGCACCTCACCTTGCACGCGGAGCTTACCGGCAAGTCATATTCTTTGGGGCACCAAACCTGGCACCTCTGGGTGTTGCAGCTAGTTTGTCATCTTTGATACCAGGAAAAAGCAAAACGGGAACTGACTGCCTGTTCTTCGCTGGAAGGTCACCCTCGGTGAACTCAAGGAGACATTGACTTTGACTGTAACCGACTCTGCGAAATAATTGTGCAGCACAACTCGCACCCCTTCTGTCATGGAGAACCTCACAGCAACCCTTGGCAAAGCTTTCAGCAAACGGACAAGTCCTGAAAGAACACAAGTTCCCACGCAAGGACATGCCGGGTGCCGACCCCGCACTTCGCTACTCTTTCAGGCTGCCACCTCTAAGCGGCGCCCCTTGACATTTTGGCCAATGGCAGGACCCGTGCGCATGGCTTGACAGCTTGTGCCATGTCGCATCATGTGCCTTCCAGGAGGCTGCCTGCTGCTTGACGCGCTACGAAGCAAACTTGGAAGATCAGAATGGGCCACGTGCTCCAGCTTCATCAATCGGATGATGGGACTGAAAGCAGGAAACCTCCCCTGCAAACGCAGAGAAGAACACAAGTCCATTCCAACATAACTCCAGCACAGGTGATCGAGCCTACCTTTTATCCCGACCCTGTAAACTAAATTGGCATTCCAACTGCCAGTGTCTCCTTAAGAACCCGAATCTACTTGAACGAAGCCGATCTCGCCATCACCCCGTTGTACGCCACCTGGCTATGGGCACCCCGGCGGCTCAGCCTGGCCCCGAAGAGAACAAACGCGTCGACTGTCTCGACGTATTTTTTGTCCAGTCAAATGGAAGTGGAATATCAAACGGAAGGTTGAGGCCTCAGCCATCGCATGTTCACTCCGCTCTTGATGCCTCAAAGAAATCCCAACTTGAGAACCCCAAGGCCGTAGCTGTAAATACTATCATGTCATCTCTGATCAAGATCAGCAAGAGCCCTGTCGCAGGGTGAGCCTTGAAATCTTCAAACAAAACTTGTCTTCACAAAAAAAAAGTTAGCCGCCAAACATTGGATGGTACTCCTGTATCAACCACCGCCTTACAAAAAAAAAAATGCATTGTGTCTCCTCTTCAAGCCAGGAAACAAAAATCAGAAAAGCCCGACCACTCATCTACAAGGGCAGCCCAAACTTTGAGAAGAGAGATGGGGAGGCAGGGGGAAGATGAGGAAAGGCATCAAGGGGTGTCTCAAACTAGGAGAATCCCCGCAGTGGATGGTGTTCTTTTGGTTGCCTTCAAACAAAGCCCCCATACGGGTAACCTCAAACCCAAACACAGCCACTACCTTCGAGTGTAAAGCCGACTCTCCTGGGGCCCTGCTCGAGGGCGTGCAGCCGGTGGTCGCAGACGTCCTCCAAGGCACGAGAGCTAATCTGGGAGACATTGATCGCAACAAAGCTCCTACATTTGGCATTCTTTGGGCTTGTCCAAAGAGGAAATCCAAGAAACACAAGGCCCAGAATTCAGAGCCACGTGACTTTTGAGACGACAAATAGTAATGCATGGCAAGCAAGCCTCCCTCTTGAGCAGGACTCCTAAAACGAAACATGTTCCTATCAAATTGAAAAAACAAATCTCGAACTCATCTCCTCGAAGCCATGTTCTAACAGCATCAACCTGAACCCGCCAAGCAACCCTTGGCGTTTCATCCCGTCCTCCCAACAAGGCGCCCGTCTCAACTTCCCCTCCGCGCACATCCCGCCTTCCCCTCACACCATCTCAGCGCTCCCTTCCTTGCCTCCAACGTGCGGAGCCGCTGGAGCTGCTTCTGCTGGGCCTGCGTCAAAATGCACCATGGGGCCACAAGGGCGCTTGACGCACACTCGACACATACGACCATCTGCGGGTAATTATATTATACAATATGACTTGATATGACTTTCCATGATGCAAGTCAACATGAGCAGACCTGAACAAACCGGAATTCCAAAGGACTCATCACTCCCCACAACCCACCGAACCGTGAAAGTCCAAAACAAACTCCAGCAAGCTCAGCACTTCAAGGCAACACATGGAGAAACCAAAAGCGCGGCACCTCCTCCGCCACCGAGGCAGAAAGCCTCAGCTCCAGCGCCAAGGATCGCTGCTCCTGGCAATGCACTGTCTTGATGTCGGGGAGGCAAAAGTGCTGCATCTCCTGCTGCCTCTGATAATTTTGGACTCAAAGCCCAAAGCCAAGTGCCAGTACCCAAAACACGGCCATGGCCACAGCAAAAGAAGGGATTCAAAGGTTCCTCGTTTTGCAAGAAAGCCTTTGGCTTGAAACCATCAACCCTGAATAAGGTTGGGGACGACCCTCCGAAGCGTTTCTTCTGGCTTACGCTTGGAACAGCTGGCTGGATTCAGAGTGCCTTGTTCGACGAATATGTGTCCATTTGAAATTGGGCAAAACCTGCATTGAGATAGTTTCCTTGAGTTTCCAATCAGGACACACGCACACACTCTCTGAAACTCTTGCACACAACACAAAAGTGGAAACACATATATATATATATATATATATATATATATATATATGTATATATATATATATATATATATGTACATATTGATAGGAGTGTATTCGCACATATGCGCTACGGCAAAGCTCCAGCTGTGATTCCCTCCTTTGCATTGGGATCGACGTTTGGCTCGAGGCTCCTGCTCCAGCCGAGCCATTCGCTCCTCAGGAACCTCCGGCATAGCGCCGAGCGGCGGCGAGAAGGGAAGCGGCCAGATCTGCTTGCATGGGCACATGCACGCATCGATACACGTAGAAAGTGCATTGCATCAGTCAATGTCCAACTGCCAGGTCTGATCCAAATCAGGAAGCCTTCCCCAATGTTCCGACGCGCAAAGCTTTCGGCCGCTCCCCATGTTCGCTTCGCAAGCTCGGAAGACGTCGGGCCACCAAAAAGGAAGGCGGAAGGGGCCAAGGCAAAGGATTCTGAGTCTATGCCACGCTGCACACGCTTTACTTTACGATCAAACTTCCTGGCTTCAAAATGGGGATCCCGAATCTGTAAACCGTAGTGGGACGCCCATACAACAAGAGATGAAGGAGTCATTCTCAATAACCCGGGGAAACAAGTTGAAAAACCGATTACGCTGACAATAGCCGGCCAGATCGATCTTCTGGAGACTGGCAGGGGCCATTTAGCAGCCCCTCCAAGCTCAAAGCCGAGCCTGGCAGTCCCGTCGCTTCAGATCCTGTCAACAGCTGCGCAGACCCTCCAACTCAAAAGGACAAAGTTGATGCCCATGACAATACTGTGGCTGTCACCAAACCTTCATGACAAACCTGGCAACCTGCCAAAACTCGGTCCCGGGTACTGAGTGGGCATGGTTTGACATAGAGCAACGCAGGCATTAGCCAAAGACAGTCGGTGCCAGCCCCAAATCAGTGGCTCATTCTGACTCCACCCGCCCTGAAAGCGCACCTCCACGCGGTCCAGACGGATCAGCAGGGCCCTCTGCTCGTCCGTCAGGGCCTGTCGGAGACCGGGCGGTGACAGCTTACCGCACTTTGAGCGCGGCTCGGTTCATTTGCGTCTTGTGTGCAGCAAGACAAGACTTAAGTTGCCAATACTGACCAGTGTAGCAATGCATGACTGATCCAGTCTCCTGCGTACGGGGGGCAGGTCACGTTTCCTTTGCCAGGACTCCGTCCAGGACTCCGTCTCGCGTTGTTTAGTTTCTGTTCGAGAGCTTCTGATTATCCCTGTAGTGGTAGCTGCCAGGTTAAGAGCAATAAGCAGCAAACAAGAAGCTGCTCTTGTTCACCAGTATCCTAAAAGTCGTCCGAGTACCCAAAAACACAGCAAGCAAACATGAAGAAGCGAAAAGCCCGCAGCAAATGATGTCATGCCGGGGTGCCAGTGCCCGCAACACCTTGAACCTCACCTCCAAGCCATCAACACATGCTCAAGCGACAGGTTCAACCTTCCCTCAAACCTACCAAGCACCACTGCTCCACAATCTGATGTGGCCATCCCAATCCCCACCAAAATAGGTTCTAAAATGGGTGGTGAACCTACCAACCAAAATGGGATCCCATTGGTTTTGACAACCACAGCCAGGTAATCTTCCGATTTCAACCCCCAAACAGCGACCTCACCGTCCGGCGCCTGCGCCAGCCCGGCCAGCTCTGCAGCCCGCCGGTCTGAGCGCACGCCCTGGCCCTGAGCAACGGAGTGGCCAACCGAGGCTTGGCGTATGGCCAGGCCTGGCCTGGGCTGGAGTGCTAAAAACTTGGATGAAAGCAAAAGTGACGTTGTTGTTTGATGCTCCGTGATTGGAATCGGAAACTGGTCGAATGCTCAATCATAGCTGCAAAGTGACCCTGTCACTTTCACGAGTTGGGTGTGCATTTGACATCGGTACTGCAATTGATGTTGCATTCAGATTTGCGCTTCGATCGGACGTGTAAGTTCAGGCAGATTTGACAGCGCAGGTTTGGCTTCATCAAATTGTGAGGACCTGTTTGCTTTGCTTTGGGTTGCTGACTTTTGGGATTGGATTGCATGGCAAGCACTAGAATAGCTTCCGCTGACAATGCCTTATCCAAGTCATGTCAAGAGCAAACCGAGGATTTAACCTACATTCTGAAGGGCAACTAGTTTAGAGCTTTGACCTCTGAGCCGCCATGTTTTGATGTGCAGAAAGGAAGGTGTCCAATGCCACGTGGGGATTTATTCCGAGTCCTGCCGGAAGATCTGGGCAGGGTCTGCTTTTTGCAGGGCCCACAAGTGAGCAAGCCCAGAGCAAAGGCAAGAAAATGCCTCTCTCCGCTCCTGCCCAGCAAAGCCCATTCCACACAACGGCCCTCGGGTCCCGCTGCGCGCGCCTCCAGCGAGCGCACCCGCGCTTCCAAGCGCGACAAGGCGCAGCGAGTGTCAGCGCCCTTGGCAAATCCAACAAGCCCATGGCGCTTTGGGGGTTGATCAATATGACCAAGGGTAATGTTTCCCATTTCGTGGGGAATATCAACTTTTTTGTGTTCCCCAATGGTCATCCCACGTAAGGGAGCTTTTGGGCAAGCCCCGTTGCAAAGATGCGAGAAGCGGTCTTCCGGAAAACCGTTTACTCAGACTTGGTTTGGGATTTTGCTGGTGCTGACAGTGTTGCTCCTGTTGATGTTCTTGACTTTCTTGCTATGAGAGAGGCGGGTTAATGCAGAATGGCTTTTTGCTTCCACTCCCGACATGGTGAAAACATGTAATCAGTGTAGTCTCAAGATGACGGCTCGCAGCCAAGTCGGCCCACCGCAACCTCACGATTCCTTCCCTGTACTCCTGTACGACTCTCTTTTCATCTGGGTGGGTTGCGGCGACGGACTTCGCCAGACTTTGCCTTCTTGAGCCCCTGGTTGCCTAGCCTTGATGGGGAGTAGCTGTGGAAACAGTGTATACCTGCTCTAATTCCACTAAACTAGGCGCCCGCTGCTCATTACATTACAGCTCCAAAACTGTGGCAGTGTAGTACAACAATATGAATCCGGGAGCAAGAAATGATTTGTTTGCCTCCAATCAGTGCAGTACATAACCCCTTGCCAGCCCGCACGTTGACAACGGGGGGTTGATCGAAGGGTCCTTTACATGGGATGGCGATTGTGGAAAACCACTAAAAAAGCGATATGTTCCACTTAATGGGAAAAGTTCCCCTTGGTGATTTGGGGGCCGAAGGGAATATTGATCAACCCCCAATCGCCGTTTGTGAGGCAGCAGCTCATTCCTGTCATCAACAAAGGTAGCGCCAACTGCGCTGTTGCCATCATAGAAAAGCAGTCCTGCTGAACAAGCAAAAGCCATATCGCGCCGCAGAGAAACCATACCTAGAAGTCTACGAGTTAGGTAAACCCCAGAAAGGCTGGTACCTCTCAAGCGAGAACTTGGGTTCCAGGCCCAACGATTCTCGTCCGTGTCGAAGGAGCTGTCAAATGGAAATGTGTTCTCCTATGTTACAAGTGCTCATGGTGTCACTAAGATGGAAATGGCATGCATCCCTCAGATCCCAACTATGTTGCGGGGCAACAAGTCCTGAGTCACATGGAATTGAGACTTAACAAAATGCCTTTGCCACAAAACCAACGTACGCATGTCCGCACTCACGCACGCACTCACGCATGCAAGCACATTCTGCGTTTACCCATTGCGCCGTCTTCGCTGTTGCTCTCCACAAGATTGTGGCACATTCACGCGGTTGGCTTACCCTACACACGAACTGGAAGTGAAGGCAACAGATCCTTCGGATGAGATGCTGAAAGAGATTCTGCAGGTAGGTGGGTATGGCTCAAAAAGCTTGGGACCCTAGGCAACTCTCTGGGCGGAAAAGGACAAAAACTAAATGCAAGTGACAATTGACAAAGAAACACATGCAATTGGCACCTTCATCCCCCATCGCAAGGGGCTGGGTGGGCATCCCAAACACCTATTAACCTTAAAAAGCACATATATGACTCTAGGAGACCAGTCTCCAAACCGGCTCTTGTGGTGAGTTATGGAAGCTGTTCCCGTAGCTTGTGCCGAAAGATAGCGCAGGGTTCCCTCCGATTCACTGCCATTTGGGGCGGTCGAGCGACTGGCCTGGGGTAGAGCAAACTGAGATCCTCCAAGGTCTCATTGGGCTTCCTCAGACCGAAAGCTCAAGCTGACAAAGGCTTCATGGACTCCGTTTCCAGGTTTGTTCAGGTCCCAAGAAGAGGTCCAACCCTCTTGACGCACATATCCGCCACTTAAAAACCGAAATATTTGTCAGGTCAGATGCCGCATGACTAGCATCAGTGCACAAGCAGGGCTTCAATCACCACAATCCAAAGCCATGTGGCCTGGGCTGCACGCCGGACACCGTCACACCTCTCAGCCCAAGCTCCGCGAGCCCGAGCGAACACGCTCACAGCCACTAAGCCCAAGGCTTGCGGGAGCCTAGCTATCGGGCGACGTCATGGATGTTGACTTGTTGGGATGGTTGAATCCCCACAAAGGAAATCCTCCAACTGCATCTGGGTCAAGCCCTCCCCCTTGAATCATGGCGGCGCCTGATCAAGTAGCACACAACTTCTTATGCTCAACACCATTCCGCGGAGAATGCGCAATGGCCATGACACCGGCATAGAACTGTCCATGCACCATCCCCACCCGAACATGCATTGATTCCTCTCCTTTCGCCGGCCGTCCCTTCCAAATATGTCTATATCAATTCCTCCAATCTGGGCAGAGCCACCAGGCTAATCGAAATCTGATGTTCTAAACTGGACCCTTGCCACGGAAACTACCAAAGTATGTCATTCCTTCAAGGGATTCGGGCATGCCTGCAATATGGATAATGCATGTAGGTATTTCTGAAAGGTAGAGCCCAAATATCCCAGTGCATGAAATGGTTCCCCGGCCTGGTGAAGCAAACCTCATGCACCAAAAACCAGAAAGCTGGGCCAAGCTCCCAACTCGATAGGCCGAAACAGGGACAGCCCCACTCTGCGAACGGTCCGCAAGAAACAATATTAGGTTCACAACTGAAGCCGTAAGCCGGAGAGCTGACATACAAACGTGTCAAAAGAAATTGGACCCTCATTGCGAGGAAACTTCAGCCAATGCCCCACTTAGAAGGCCCCATGGGCGTCATGGGCGTCATGGGCATCTGGCTTGGAACCATTGGTCGAGCTCGACCAAAGTGATTCCACAAATTCCTGCTGAGCGTGCCAGCCAGCCCCAATCTGCCCAACCCAATTGGCCTTCGCGGCCAGTTACCAGCGCATTCAGCGCGCTTGCCTTCACAACCGTGGTCAGATCCGGAAAGAGCAAGGCTCAACACGTACTATAGGCATTACCAGGCGTTGTCCACATGCCCGAGGGTGTCGGAACGCAGAAGCGGTCAAAAAGAAACCCGCAAAAGTTACCAAACCATTTAAGTCTCTAGTCAGGATCCTGGTGCACCAACTTGAAGTGAAGGTGCGTTGTATTGCGAGCAGTTTGTGAACCGCGTAAGCCACCCTCCTGTGCCAGAAAAGACAGGAAAAGTTAGAAACAAAGCAACGATGCACCCCATATAATATTATCAACAGGTCGTTTTGAAAGCAAGCTATTCGGTGATGGTGCGCACGACAAAAGCAGCAACAAAGTTCATCGCGTCACAGTTAGGGTCTTAGAGGATGCAAATAAAAGACTGTGTTCCCCTAAGGCATGCCGTAAACAACTAGTGCCCCTTTGTTTATGCTAGAAACCTTGTAAAAGACGTTCTCATGTTTGGCTTCTGGATTGCATGACACCATCGTGATCGCACATATTGCGTGCTGAGGCTCACAACAGAAAACCGAGCCCTCAGGAAGAGCCGGTTTTGCGTAGGCGGTGATCAATGTTATGGGAGTGTTTCACGGTCCGGTCAAACATGCTCTTGGCACGGTCGTTCACATCCAAAGGCCTCCGATAGAGCTGCCAGCGCCATAAGCTTACCGCAAGCTCAAAGCAGTGGTTTCATGCACCATCGTACAGCCGATTTAAAAGAGGTTGTGGTACTATAATTCCTATTGGTGCTGCTTAAGCTTGTTGATGCTGTGTGACCATATCCGCCGACCCCTTGTGTACAAGGGCGAGGCGCACGGGAAGGTAGTCCGTAGGATCATCATCATCATCATCATCATCATCATCATCATCGTCAGCATCGTCATCATCGTCATCATCATCATCGTCGCTGTTACTAAGGCGGGAATGCTTGATGATGACCTTCATCATAATTGTCATCATGATCCTGATCGTCATCATGATCGTAGTCATTCATGTTTCTTAGCTATATTTCAGATGTGACGTTGGGAAGTGCGAGGCAGCCCTAAAGATGCTGAGAATGCCTAGTCATGATTATCATCATGACTGTCATCATCATGATCATCACCATTTGCAATGCTGGGCATCATCATCGATCATGACATTTGTTGTAATCTTAATTATATATGTGTCAAATGTCCCGCTAGGCTCCTTTAGCGTTATCATCATCATTGTCATCAAGCTTGCTGACGATGCTAGGGATGCGTCGTGATCCTCGTCGCTTTCTTTTCATATCTTGTGCCTAATGGTCATCATTGCTATCAACAATTTCGTCCATGCAGAAATGTTGATCCAGGCAGGATTATGGTCGAAGAAGGAAGATCCGGATTCGATAACGAGCGGAATGGAGGAGTTGTCTTTGGTGCCAAAAAGGTCCAGCGTGGATGGACCGCAGGGCGGGATTATCTTGTCCGCGCAGGGCGGGCGCCGACGTGAGGGCACACGAAAGTGTCTGTGAGGCCGGGTCCATGCTTGCACAAAAATGCCCATGCAGCCAGGTCCTGCAAAATTCATTGTTCTGTCCACCAACGTTGGTTGATGCAGGGCTGCAGGACCTCTGTTCATGTACGATGTTCGCTCAAGAGCCATTGGTCTATTGCATGAGGCATGGTCCTTGAGAAACACCTTGGGCTTTAGACTTGTTTACAGTGCTCAGGGGGCGGCGGCACCGGGCAGCAGCCCTTAAAATCAAAACTATGCTCATTTGCTATAACCATGTGTTGTGTCTTGCCTGGGGGCGAGGGTTGCCGATGATGCAAATGATACGCCAGTGATGCAAACGTAAACGAGTCTCCCTTTGGCTGTTTAAAGCTTGTTGATGGTTCTGTGCTACTTTCCCACGCTCAGACCTGTGCCTCTGTAAGCAATACGCAAGGATACAAACCAGGTGAAGTCACCAAACTCGTGCAAAAAGCTCTTACCATCTACAACGACTGGAAAAACCTAATCACACATGCATTTCATAACGAGGACAGCTGCACATCAACACATACTCACGTCGGTCATAGTTGCCACGTGCAGCTACGCAATTCTTTGTAGCCAACTCCCTCCTGAATGTGTTTGCCTATCTGAGGGATGGTTTAAGAAAACAAAACAAAACAAAAATAGTGTCCCGTGACATGTCTAGGATTGCCTTGAAAGCTGTCGACCTGTGATTCCAGCAGTTCACAAACACGTACAAGCTGCGCCGAGCATGTACCCACCCATGTGTTTTTGTGGAAGGCAACATTCCGGAGCTCAGCACACCAGCAAGCTCCAAAAATACATTTCTATATGCAAAACCAGACAGGGGCATGCCATTGGCACCTGGTCATCACTCGGCATCCGTCCTTCGTGAGGTAGGACTCCAAAGCGCCGTAGGGGCAGGGGAATCCGAAGTCAAGTCCGCTGACTCGGATGCCCCCCGTGTAGGACAGGCTCTTCCTGTCTCTGCGAGGGTGCAGCAGCAGCGCCGAGAACAAGCCGCTCAGATCCAGCAGCTCGGAGATGCGCTCCACCGCTTCCAGCGCATCCGGAAGGGCGGCAGGCTGCTTGGCTGCCCACTCCTCCAGGGTGACCAGCAGGCTCTCGGTCAATGCGTGCTGCATGGCAACGGTGCAAGCGCTTCGACCCATGCTCGATCCACTCCACCACTTCGGTCCATGCGAACAAATAATTCCCTAGGGATGGTCTGGAGGCGGGAGAAAAAATAATTCCACCCCAGGGAGAGGCGCTCACTGGTCTGGAGGCGACAAGATCCGTCTCGAGATTTTCGTGAAGATCCGTCAGGAGGCGAAGGAAATTCTTTCCCCAGGGAGAGGCGCTCACCGGGCTGGAGGTGGAAAGATCCGTCTCGGACCTTTAGGTAGAGGCGGTCACCGGGCTGGAGGTGGAAAGATCCGTCTCTCCACAATGATCCGTCTTGGACCAGGATATGTCTCGGACCTGGATAATTTCCTACTCCTAGGAGAGGCGCTCACCGGGCTGGAGGTGGAAAGATCCGTCTCGGACCTTGGAAGAAAAGCCCTCTCAGAAGATAGAGGCGGTCACCGGGCTGGAGGTGGAAAGATCCGTCTCTCCACAATGATCCGTCTCGGACCAGGATATGTTTTTTTTATCCTCAGGAGGCGGTCACCGGGCTAGAGGTGGAAAGATCCGTCTCGGACCTTGAAATAAAAGCCCTCTAGGAGGTGGAAAGATCCGTCTCTCCACAACGATCCGTCTCGGACCAGGATGTGTTTTTTTTATCCTCAAGAGAGGCGCTCACCGGGTTGGCGGTGGAAAGATCTGTCTCTCCACAATGATCCGTCTCGGACCAGGATATGTTTTTTTATCCTCAGGAGAGGCGCTCACCGGGTTGGCGGTGGAAAGATCCATCTCTCGGCGATGATCCGTCTCGGGTGGAATCGAGCCCGCGGCCTCCTAGCTTCAGAGCTGCAACGCCTCTTCCAATTGAGCTATGGATCCGTGCTACCCTTGGATGTATTCCCAGGAGAGGCGCTCACCGGGCTGGAGGCGGAAAGATCCGTCTCGGGGATTTCTCCCAGGAGAGGCGCTCACCGGGCTGGAGGTGGAAAGATCCGTCTCGGACCTGGGAATACAAGTCTTTTAAGGAGAGGCGCTCACCGGGCTGGAGGCGGAAAGGTCCGTCTCGGGGATTTCTCGCTCCCAGAAGAGGCGCGGCGCTCACCGGGCTGGAGGTGGAAAGATCCGTCTCGGGGATTTCTCGTTCCCAGGAGAGGCGGTCACTGGGCTGGAGGCGGAAAGATCCGTCTCGGGGATCCTTCTTGGGTGGAGGGAGGAAAATGAATTTCCAAAGGGCACTCATTCGAAATAATGATCCGCGCCCAGGTGGAATCAAGCCCGCGGTCTGCAAGCTTCGAGCTGCAGAGCCTCTTCCAATTGAGCTACGGACACTTACTAGTCAAGCACGGAGACTCCAGTGCCAGGAGCGTCACCAGCTGATAGGCTATCAGGTACATGTAAAGAAGCATGGAGGTAGTACGCCGGAGCACAGGTGAGTTGATGCAGAGCCTGGAGTACAAGCTGAAAACCAGCAACACCAACCACGTGACCACACGGCACGACGTGCAGTATTTCCCCAGCTCGCTGAGCTTCTTCTCTCCCGCCACCTCGGGTCTGCCGCACTCCGCTGACCAGCGGCACCTTGTTCATCGACCCGAGTCGATCAAGATCGCCTTCAGAGTCAGAAACACGGACGCCACCAACCCGCTGGGCCTGCCACTCGAACCCCGTCTGTTTATCCAGAGGACCTAGGTCTTCGCCAACGGCCAGCGCTGCGACGACATCAACTACTACGGCCGCACCGTGGCCGTGCATAACCTGCTAAAGGGCCGCGAGTACAACCAGAACAAGGCCGTGGAGGCTTTGACAAGCCGATGCGGGCAGTGAATCTAGAGCCCGCGTCGTTGTCCCAAAAAGTCACGAACGCTCCCATAAGTTTCGTGAAGGCGCACGCGACGGTGACGTTGTGCTCCGCACGCCCGGAGGCACCGTGGAGGACTCTACCAGCGCAGAGTCCAGGACGACCTGGAAGGCCAGAACTCGGACGTTCTGAATCTCGAAGTCGGTGCTAGCGTGGCTCCCGCCGGGTGCGCCCCGGCGTTCTTGGACACAGCGCAGTTGTCGCGTCTGCAAACGCAATCTCTATCACCAGGTTCAGCTGCGGCGGCAGCCACCATGGTGGGACGGAGCACGTCCGCGTAGCCGCTCTGGCGCACCGCGCGGGCGTCCGAGAGTTGTTCACCGTGGCCAGGCAGGAAGACAGTCTCTGGAGTCGCAGATGCAGCTGGGCAGCCTGCAGTTCCGCACACCCTATGAAGGGAGCTCGGAGCACTTCCACTTCCTCTCGGTTCTTGCGGGGCCTACGACGACACGGTGCGCAACATCGACATCGACCGCGCGGGCTAACCTGGCCACAGCTGCTTCATCGCGGGCTTCCCGACAGAGCGCGTGCCCAAGATGCCCCCCAGTGGCGTCAGCACCCGTTCGGGCGACCTGGCTCGGTTCACTTTCAGGCGCTCGACGGCACAATGACGGACGTGTTCATTCGGCGTCGGCCTCTGGGTCCAGCCAGGTCGTCCTCACCGAAGCGGTTTCCTCCGCCTTGGCGCATCCGGGGGGCCAAGTCCTTGTCCGTGGCTCTGCGGGAGTGCGGAAGCCTTCCTCTGGGCGCAGCAGCAGGGCTCGTGGCGGCGCAGGCCTTCCGCTCCAGCTTCCCCAGGACGCTGGAAGTACATTAACAAGACTTCCTCAAGGAGACGAAGCATGTGTTTTGGGCTTCCGTGGAGCTTGGTCTTGCCCAGCATCAGCGCCTGGAAAGTGGTGGGCAAGAAGAAGTTCAAGACCACCGGGGGTACATGTGCAGGTTTTGCAAGGGCTTCTGGAGGGCGAGCCGGGGGGACCAGGCTGCTCCAGATCCGGGGTGGCACAAAGACAAGGCCACATGCTTGCAGCTGGTGTTGAACGAGCCCCGGAGCAGCTATACAATCAGTGGATCCGTGACAGATGGAGTCCACAAGAGGGTGGAGCCGGGGAGCCTCCAGGGACAAGCGGCTAGTCCTGGGCGACGCGAGCACCCCACATGCGCTTCAGCTTCTCGCATGGCCTGGAAGATGTCTCCAC